TTAGCCATCATCCTCCAAATCTCCCATTTCCTTTAGATCTACTTTCTATCTATGTATATTTGCCTTTTTTGGACGTTTCATGTAGATGGAATCACAATATGTGGCCTTTTGTATTCTGGGGTTCTTGCACTTAGCATAATGTTTTTAAGATTTATCCATGTAGTATGTACCATGAAATGAATACTTCATCCTTTTTTGTGGCTGAATACTGTTCCATTGTGTGGATATGCCATAATTTGTTCATGAGTTGATGGATGTTTAGGTTGTTTCTGCCTTTTGAATGTTATAAATATTGCTGTGGAAGTTTTTTTGTGGGCATGTTTTCATTTCTCTTCGGTTATATACCTTGGAGTGGAATTGCTGGGTCAAATGGTAACTCTGTGGTGAACTTTTTGAGGAACTGCCAACCTTATTTCCACAGTGGCTGTACCATTTTGTGTTCTCACTAGTGGTATGTGAGGGCTCCAATTTCTCCACATTCTCTCCAGCACTTGCTCTTATTTCTTTTGGGTTATAGCCATTCTCATGGGTGGAAAGTATTTCTCATTGAGGTTTTGATTGACATTTCCCAATGACTAATAATGTGGAGCATCTTTGCATTTGCTTATTGTTCATTTGTGTATCTTCTTTGGAAAAATGCCTTTTCAAATCCTTTGCTCATTTTAAAATTATCTTCTTATTGGGGCACCTGGATATCTCAGTTGGTAAGTCTCCGATTCTTGATTTCCACTCAGGTCTTGATCTAGAACCCCGTGTTGGGTTCCCTGCTCAGCATAGAGTCCGCTTTCCCTCTCCCTCTTCCTCTGCCCCTCCCCCCACTCGTTCACTCTCTCTTCTCTCAAATAAATAAATCTTAAAAATTTTATCTTTTTATTACTGAGTTGTAAGAATTCTTTATTCTAGATACAAGTTCCTTATATATAATTTGCAAATATTTCTCCTATTCTGTGAGGTGGTCTTTTCAGTTACTTGATAGTGTCCATTGAAGCACAAAAGTTTTTAATTTTGGTGAAGTCTAATTTATTGTTTTTTTTTGTTATTGTTTATGCTTTGAGTGTCCTATCTAAGCATCTGTTGCCAAATACAATGTCACAAAGACTCCTATGTTTTCTTCTAAGAGTTTTGTAATTTTAGCTCTTACATTTAGGTTGTTGATTCCTTTTCAGATAATTTTTGTATATTGTATAGTATAAGGGTCCAACCTCATTCTTTTGCATGTGGCTATCCAGTTTACCCAGCACAATTTGTTGAAAAGACCTCATTGATTAGTCTTGGCACCCTTGTTAAAAACCAGTTGCCATAGATAAGTGGGTTTATTTCTGGACTCTCATTTTTATTCCATTGATCTATGGGTCTGTCCTTGTGTCAGTGCCACACTATCTTGATTATTTTTACTCTGCAGTAAGTTTTGAAATTGGACAGTGTGAGTATTCTGACTTTGTTCTTTTGGCTATTCTGGGCTTCTTGAGTTTCAATGTCAATTTTAGGATCACTTTTTAACTTCTGCAAAGGATTCAGCTAACATTTTGTTAAGAGATTGCATTGAATCTGTAGATCAGCTTGGAGGGTATAGATATCTGAATCATACCTTCCAGTTGTGATCATGGGATTTCTTTCCATTTATTTAGAGCTTTAAAAGTTTCTTTCATCAATGTTTTGTGCTTTTCAGAGTATAAGTTTTTCATTTCTTTTGTTAAATTTATATCTAACTATTTTGGTCTCTTCCATGCTATTGTAATTGGAATTATTTTCTTTATTTTGATTGTCCATAAATAGTGCATAGCAATACAATTTATTTTTGTATTTTGATCATGTGTCTTGGGTCCTTACTGAACTCATTTATTAGTTTTAATAGTTATTTTTAGTGAATTCCTTAGTATTTTTAAAAAAGATTTTATTTATCTAGAGAGTGCAAATGAGGGGAGGGGCAGTGGGTAGGGGAAAGAATCCCAAGGAGAGTCTGTGCTGAGTGTGGAGCCCTATGCAGGACTTGATCCCCCAACCCTGAGATCATGACCTAAGCTGAAATCAAGAGTGAGACACTTAACCCACTGAGCTACCCAGGCACCCCCTTAGTATTTTCTATATACAAGATCCTATAATCTGTGAATAGAGATAGTTTCACTTCTTTCTTCCCAGTTTGGATGCCATTTATAGTTTCTTTTTATTTTTCTTTTCCCTAACTGTTCTGGCTAGAACATCCAGCACAACGATAAATAGAAATGACGATAGTGGTTAGTCTTTTTCCATGTTTTATGGGCAAAGTATCTAGTTTTCCATTATTTATTATTTATTTATTTATGGGGGGGAGAGAGAGAGAGAGAAAATACAACAGTACAACAGGGGGACTGGCAGGCAGAGGGAGAGGGAGAAGCAGGCTCCCCACTGAGCAGAGAGCCCAATGTGGGCTCCCAGGAGCTGAGGTCATGACCTGAGCCGAAGATAGATGCTTAACTGACTGAGCCACCCAAGTGGCTCTATTTTTCATTACTAAGAATATTTTTACCTGTGAGTTTTTTTGTAGCTGCTCTTTTTTCATGTTGAGGAACTTCCCTTCTATCTAGTTCATTGTTTTTTTTTTTCTAATTTTTAATCAAGAAAGGCTTTGGAATTTTGTCAAATGCCTTCTTTATTGAGTTGGTAACATGGTTTTTGTTTTTATACTATTCCTCTGGTATATTATAGGCATTGATTTTTGGATGTTAAACCAACTTTATACTACTGTAATAAATCCCACTGGGTCATGATACATAATTCTTCTTATAAGTTGCTGGATTTGGTTTGCTAGTATTTTTTTTTAAATTTTTAAATTTTTATTTATTTATGATAGAGAGAGAGAGAGAGGCAGAGACATAGGCAAAGGGAGAAGCAGGCTCCATGCACCGGGAGCCTGACGTGGGATTTGATCCCGGGTCTCCAGGATCGCGCCCCGGGCCAAAGGCAGGTGCTAAACCGCTGCGCCACCCAGGGTTCCCAGTTTGCTAGTAGTTTTGAGAATTTTTGTGTCTATATTTATAGGCTGTATTGGTCTGTAGTTTTCTTGCAATGTCTTTGGGTTTGTTGTCGGGGTAATCCTAGTCTCTTAGAATAAGTTGGGAAGTGTCCCGTCTCCTATTTTAAGAGTTTCTGAGGAATTAGTATTAATTCTTTTTAATGGCAGAATGCACAGCTGAAGCCATCTGGACCTGGGCTTTTTGTGTAGCTTTTTGATTACTATTTCGGTTTCTTTATTATAGATCTTTTTAGATTTTCCATTTTCTTAGGGCCAGTTTTGGTAGTTTGTGTGTTGCTAGGAGTTGTCCTTGTCATCCAAATTAATTTATTGGCACACAGTTGCTCATACTATTGGAACATAGCTCATTGCAGCCAAACAGTGCTGCAGGGAACATCCATCCTTGTGCTCACATGGAAGTGTGTTTATAGCACAGATCCCTAGAAGAGGAATCCCTGGGTCAGACGTCTGTGCGTGTAAATGTTGGTTGTTTCTTCCCGCTTATCCTCTTCCTGCTCATCTTTCTAGCCTTATTGATTTGCGTAAATTCTTGCTGTTTAGGAATCTCGGTTTCCTGGAGATTGGAGTTGGTACGGATGCACAGAGCCAGTGGGAAGGATAGGTTTGGGAGTCATGTGTTTCATGGCTGCTTCTGCTCAGGGGTGCTCGATGTGGGTGCCTGAAGCATGTCTTCCACACTGTATGTTCACATGTGGGGTTTCCAGACCCTGGAACCTGAATGGCTCGTGGGTCAGGGACTGTTGCCTCTGACAGGCCAGCTGTGGCCTGGGGGAGCTCCTTGTAAGCCAGGTGACTCCACAAAGTCCACCTTCCATGGTGGTTCTCTCTGGGAATCCTGAGGGCTGGGGTGGGGCTCGGTAATTCTGGCTCACTGGTGCCTGCAGGGGAAGGGAGGCACACTCTACTACCTCTGCACGAAAAATTGACAAGGACATCCTTGTTTTCCATTATCACTGCTGTCTTTCCTTTCCTGTTCTTCTGAGGACTGTGTTCTGGGTGCTCATTAAGTCATGCCTTGTCAGGGCCCAGATGTGGGCAGTGATGTTTTGATAAGAAAGCGTAGCTATTTTTATGGAAGGGGAATTGGGGAAACTGCTGAGAGATCTCCACGAGTGTTCTGTGAGGAGGGGTAGAGCTTCTAGCCCATCACCCCTCCATTCCACTTCCTCCTTCTCCTTGTCGCCTTTACCTGAAATTTCCAAGGGGGCCACTAAAGCTGGTTCAATGTTTGGACTTACATAGTTCGAGATTTTTTGAATAATCTCTCCAGGTCCCTGGAGACTCCAATTCAGTGGTTTTCAGGCTTTGCTTACAAGCTCTAGGGTCCCAAGGAGCTGCTTTGGGGACAGGGGGCGGGGGGCAGGGGCAGGCACATCATGAGCTCAAGCCGCCACGGCTGCCTTGGCCAGAGTGGCTCTGCTCTTACTGCATAAATTTTATGTGTTGGAGTTTCATCTAGAAATGGGAGACAGGAGGACTGTGTTGCCACAAAAGTTGGGAAAGTACTTGTATTGGACAGTTCGGCCTTGCTGTTGGGCCAGAAACATCCCGAACAGGACTCCTTCTGGAGGCTGAATCCTGGGGCCTACAGGTGTTTTAGGGAACTTGGCTCCTCTCTCTTGACAGAGACCGGCAGCCGCTCCCCCCAGAGCCGTTTGCCAGCCTGGGTGTGCTTGGTTTTTCCTTTTGTTGTGTGGGGTGTTCTGGCCTTCCAGCCCTGCGAGGGCAAAATCAAATCCCCCCCCCTTTTTTTTTGGTGTGTGTGTGTGTGTGTGTGTGTATATATATATATTTTTATTGGAGTTCGATTTGCCAACATACAGTGTAACACCCAGTGCTCATCCTGTCAAGTGCCCCCCTCATTCCCATCTGTCTTGATCCAAATGACTCTTGTGTCAGAGGAAGTCCTGGGCTAGGCTTGCAGGCCATAGGTGAGGAGACTTTCTCACAGACCTCCTGGCTGATGCATCTTCTTTGTGTCTTTCAGTCGGCAGAGTTCTTCGAGATGCTGGAGAAAATGCAGGTGAGCATCCCTGTGGTGGGGAAGCTGAGCCGAGGGTGGGGGGCCTGCTGCAGGGAACTTGGGCAGAGCTTGGGAGCCCTGGGGGGAGGGGCAGAGAAGAGAAGACTCAGCCTGACTCCTAGGCCATTCCATATTGCGTGGCACTGAGGACTTTGGGGAGGTCCTGGCCTGAAGAAGGGGAGAAGACAGAAAGCAGAACCCCTCCAGCAGAGCAGATGTGTGGAGGGCTTGAAAGGGTCCATTGTTCCTACAGTGGGCTGGAAAGAAAGTCTGGAAAAGGAAGCCCTTTCCTAGAGGAGGTCATCTTGTGTCTGGGAGACAGAGCTGAGGGAGGGGTCAAACCCTGCACCTGACACTCACTTGCATGAGTCCCTTCCCTTTTCTGAGCCTCTGGCTCCTGTTTTCTATCCTTTCACAGCACTATTTTCACCTCCCTCCAACACCAAATGTGTGGTTGTTTTTCCCCTACTGAGCAATTCTGTGACACCAGCTGGGTGTCCTACAGTTCAGCTCCATTCTGACACTCTCTACCCAGAGACAGTGTCACATCCTGCATTGTAAGGGCTCTGCCCCATGAGACTGCCTGCGACCCACTTAGGATGCTAGGCACAAGTGTGCTGTCACCTGTGCTTCTAACCAAGCTATAGATTGGAAGTTCCCAGGACCCCCTGCTCAGGTTCCATTAATTTGCTAGAGGGGCTCACAGAATTCAGAACAGTTTACTTACTAGATTATCAGTTTATTATGAGGGATATAATTCAGAAACAGACAAATGGGAGAATTGCAGGGGGCAAGGTATGTGGGAAGGTGGGGAAGAGCTTCCACGTCCTCTGGATGCATCACTCCCCCAGCACTGCCATGTACTCACCAACCTGGAAGCTCTCTGAAGCCATCATTTGTTTTGTTTTGTTTTAACTGAGCCGAGATTGATTAAACGATTGTCCTTAGGAGATTTACCCTCCAGCCCTCTCCCTCCCAGAACCCTCAAATAGTGGTTGGTTCCCCTGGCATCCAGCTCCATCCTTAGGAGTGTCCCCAGAGTCATCTCATTAACAAACTTATGAATAATTTTATGGCTTTCACTTTTATGGCTCTAGAGCTTTCTTCAGGAACCAAGGACAAAAGATGAAGTATTATAACAAAAGATGCTCCAAAATGCTCCTGTTGCTCTCATTACTTAGGAAGTTCAACACGTTTTAGAAGTTCTGTGCCAAGAATGGGGTAAAACCCCCAATATTTATTTATTTATTTATTTATTTATTTATTTATTTATTTATTAATTATATTTGTTTATTCATGAGAGATACAGAGAGAGAGGCAGAGACACAGGCAGAGGGAGAAGCAGGCCATGCAGGGAGCCTGATGTGGGACTCAATCCCGGGCCCCCAGGATCACACCCTGGGCCGAAGGCGGTGCTAAACTGCTGAGCCACCAGGGCTGCCCCCCAATATTTATTATTACGAGTTATGCCACAGCCCCCATAAATAATAATGAAAATAGCTACTTACATAGTTATTTGGATGAAATGAGATAATATATGTAAATACTTATATGTAAATACTAGGCACTGCCGAAAATCAGTGTTCAGAATGGATTTGGGGGGGCCTTTCTCATTGCTCTTCACCAAGGGCTAGGGCTTACAGGTAAGAACTGCTGCCCTGGGGAATATGAGGAGTCCAGAAGGCTTAACTGATACAGGTGGAAAGGATGGAAGGAAGATGCTGACAATAGCACATGTACTTTTTTTTAAAGATTTTATTTATTTATTTAGAGAGTGCTAGTGGAGGAGGTGGGAGGTGCAGAGGGAAAGGGAGAGGGAGAGAGCGAATCCCAAGCAGACTCTGCACTAAGTGTGGAGCCCAATGTGGAGCCCAATGCAGGGCTCGATCCCACCACCCTGAGATCATGAGTTGGATGCCTAACTGATATGTGTCCCAACAGCACATGTATTTTCAGCACTTTTCTCAGCTCAGACATTAAGGAGTATTAGCTCATTTCTTTCTGGTAACGCCCACCGGAAGCAGCTATATTATTATCATTGTCCCCTCTTTATAGGTGAGAAAACTGAGGTACAGAGATCTTACTTAAAGCACTTATGTCATGTCCTTTATACCCTAAGTAGATGCTGCTGACTTGTCAAGGAAGGAAGATTCTGTGGTCATGGTCTGGAAACTCTAGGGGAAAAGCAGATAGGGTGCCCCTGCAGTCCTGAGATACAGGTGGGGCTGCTGAGGTGCTTGCAGGGAAGCCAGGTCTCCTGAACTCTCAAGGAACAAGTTACTAAGATTCTCCTCTGTGCCCAGCAGTATGGGGACTGCAGAGTATGTTATTTAGGGAACTTAGTTAAGTTGTGGAAACAGGATTGGCTTGCACTTTGACGGTGAGCAGTGAGAGATAGTGTGTAATTATGTGCTCAACTGCCTGGGGTAGAGCTCCAATTCTCACCCCAAGCTCATGAAATCCCACCTCTTAGGGAAGCTGATAGGGGATATGTGGCTCACCCTGCCTTCTCTTCATTTGCTCCCACAATCCACCAGTCCCTCACCCCCAGCTAGAGACCCCTGCTTCCCCCACAAAGGGCTCTCTGAGTGCAGAATTCAGCCTCACTTAACTGGCCTCCTGTCTGTCATTTCTGTTTCCAGACTGCTGGACTTCTCAACTAGATTGGGACCCTCTTGAGGGCAGGGGTCTGGTTTTTACACTCCCTCTGTGTGTTTGGGGCAGCAGCTGTCCAAGGGTCTACCTATTCCATCTCAGTTGAGATGGTCAGGGGCTGGAATCAAACTTCTCAGGCTTTAGGTCCCTGTTGTGTGCCATGCCAGGCCCCAGCCTCCAAGAGGCCTGCAGTTTCCAGCTCCTCTGATTATACAAAACTCACATATGGGTCAATAGTGGGAGCGAAGCAGGTGGCATGGTATGGCCAGATCCTGTCCCGGGGTGTGGGTGCCGCCCCTTCTCAGGCTTTGGCTGTGGACACTGAGTCTCAGAGCCGTCCAGTGCCCAGTGTACTCTTTGAGCTGTGGAGACCTGAACAGGATCCAGGGTTCCTGACCTCGCACCTGAGTATGGAGGAACTGGAAGAAGGGCACAATCCCTGTGAAGCAATGTGGACTAAGTACACAAGCACTGGGCCCATTTGGTCCTGGGTTCAAAATTTTACCCCTGATACTGCCTAGATGAGTGTCCTTGGTCCAGTCGCTCTGCCTCTTTGAGTCTCCATTTCTTCATGGTAGGGAAGAGGGGGGATAACGATCATGCCTTTTGCAAAGGCAGGCACACAGAGGGGAGAGGGCCCAGAGCTAGGTGGAGGCTCTGTCCTCAGGGAGAGGAGGGGAGAGAAAGGGAGGAGGTTACTTTCCTGCCCAGAGGCTGTTCCCAGGCAGGGGTGACTAATGCAGGACAAACAAAACAAACTCCTGACATCACCCCCCTCCCCACCCGCCCAGTTTGCTTCCCTGGACAAGGGTCTACAGGGCCACCCAGGTGGTTTTCTTCCTGTGTGGGGAGAGGACACCTGTCCAGTGGGAGGGGTCCTCCCACGCCCTCCTGAGCAGTGCTGTGGGGTGACTCAGCCCCAAGAAGTCTGGAGAAGCTGGAGTCTAAATCCAGCCAGTGAGCAGGAGCTGTGGACTCAGGGCTGTGGGATATGATCGTGCACTTGGATGGACAGCCTGGCTTCAGATCTGGCCCTGCTACTCTAGCTGTGCTCCTTGTGCCTCAGTTTCATTTGGTATAAAGGTGCTGAGGGTTTCCTAGGAGACCACAGTGGGAGGGTGCTGAGGAAGCTTAAATCCTCATGTGTTGTGTTATGTTATGATAGCATGGTCTTATCTCCCAGTTGTCCTACCATCTCCTACGACTATTTAGTTATTTATTCAATCATGTGCTCCCTTCTTGAAAAAACCTGTCCAGTCAGATCTTGACCATAGAACCATGGGACAAGGAACTGCTTCCCAGAAGTGAATGAACCCCAAACCCCCTGCCTGTCACCTGTGGGTCTGTGCCCCAAGGAGGGAGGGGAGCTCTGGGGCACCAGGTCCACAGTACTGGGTTTGACACCATTCAGGTGTTCCCATCCTTGCCCCTTACCTACTGGTTCTTGGGGCCTGGCAGAGAGATTTCGGTGTTAGGTTGGTAATACTTCTTGGTAATAATGACCTATGGCAAAACTAGCCCCCCCTTCAAAGGCTTAACATATCATCAGCATTTAACCTTTACCAGGATAGTAGCTGCTATTACTGTTCCCCTTTTGCAGATGGGAACAGTGAGCCACAGACGTTTTGTGACTTGCCCAAGCTCCTAAGTGGTAGTGTGGAGATTTGAGCCCTGGGGATCTGGCTCAAGTCTGTGCTCTTGTCTGCCTATCCTCTTGCCTTACTTGGAGCTGAGGACTGAGTGTGACAAGGTGTGTGATGTGTAAGGACCCGGCACCCATTAGCTGTTGCTGTTCTTACCAACCCTATGAAGGCAGGTGCTTGAGAATCCCAAGGGAACCCTCCATTTGGCCTCTATTTTATGACCTTTTCTTTTCCACAAATCCTCTTTTCCTTGTTTCCGCAGGGAATCAAGCTTGAAGAGCAAAAGCCAGGACCCCAGAAGAACAAGGTGGGGTGTGTGGGTGAGGTGCAGCCCAGTGGGCCCGACGGGGGGGACGGCCGGTGTGCTGGGGTCTGCTGTCTTCGATCTACCCTTCACCAGGAGCTACTTAAGTGGATGTGCCTGTGTTGACTGGTACCTGGTGGGCAGTAAGAGGGCCCTGGCTTGATGCCTTAGGGCAGCCTGAGTGTGGGCTGGGGTGGAAGCCTCGGGTGAGACCTAAGGCTCCTGGCTTGGTCTAGCTCTTCTGTATCTGCTTCTGCAAATGAACCGCACACAGCATTTAGAGGAATTAGGCTCCGGGCTCCAGTGATCCTCAGCTCTCCGCTTCAGTTTCCTTTCCCAAGGCCCAGGGGTATAGCTCATTACTTGGAGGTCAGTCAGCTCCCTTGCCTGAAGGCCCGACTGGGTGGGATCAGGGGTCGTCTTCCTGTTACAGCTTCCCAAGGGGTGAAGCTAATGCCGTTAAAGGCCTGAAGTTCAGAGCCTTTGTACCACGAGCCAGGTTTGTGTTCTTGTTCTGTCAGTTTGAGGAAGCACTGAAGGGAAGCCAGATTCCAGAGCTGCCTCTCTGCTCTTCTTCATCTGATGTCCTTCTCTTTGATGCCCTCAAAGCTCGGGTGCAGCCTGCCAGGACCCCAGCCTCCCCGACCTGGGAGAGGGGAATGGAAGCAACCATCACACCTCATGGGTGCTGCCGGGCCTAATGGTAGTCTTGTCTGGTTTGTCTTGCAGGACGACTATATCCCGTATCCCAGCATTGATGAGGTAGGAGCCCCCTGACCATACCACAGTCTGCTCTGGGTCTCGTGTCTGGGGTGGGGCTGGAGGAGCTGATGTGTTGATGGCCCCTGCTCTACACCAAGTGGGGAGAACCGCAGGCCTGGGATTTTTTTTTACCATTGTGGCCTCAGTTTTGCCATGTTTAGACTGGGGTGCTGATCAAAGCCTTGCAATTCTGGTTGCTCCAGGGTTGGTGAAGCTGGAAGATGTTGTTGGGCTTAAGTTTGTGTTATGGTATTTGGCCTCAAATACAGCAGTCTCTACCTTGGAGCAGTTCAGAGGTGGGGGATACCACCACTGGCACCCCTGCCTTCCCCTTTCCCTGTAGAGCCAGGGCTGGCCGCACTGCAAGACCTTCTCTCTGCCTCTAGGTTGTGGAGAAAGGAGGCCCGTATCCCCTGATTGTCCTGCCTCAGTTTGGGGGCTATTGGATTGAGGACCCAGAGAACGTGGGGACGCCGACCTCCCTTGGTAGCAGCATCTGTGAGGAAGAAGAAGAAGACAGCCTCAGCCCCAGCACATTTGGCTATAAGCTCGAGTGCAAGAGTGAAGCCAGGGCCTACCGCAGGCACTTCCTAGGGAAGGTGAGGCTGAGGGTCCAGCATAAAAGCAGCTGTGGGCCGGACAGAGACGTGCACCTGCCCCGGCTTCCTCCAGCACCCCTGTCTCCATTTCTTCTCCTTCCCGGGCCTGCCCCCTCCCTAGGGCTTGCTGTCCTGGGTGGGGAAGTCTACTAGCTCTGCTTTTGGGGGAGTTGCGGAAGTCAGGAAGGCTTGGTGTGATGGGTCCTTGGGGGCACCACCCCTAGCAGATGTTCTCGGAGGTAATGGGATGGGTATTGTTGAGGGTGAAGGTGGGTAAAGGAGAAAAATATGTTCTAACACCTTGGAAGTCTTTGTCTCCATCTAAGTAGTCAAATCTCTCCTGTCCTCACACCAGCAGGTCCCCAGGGCACTTGTACCAGATGTGCTATGAGCCTTTGATTGCTTAAAAGTGACAAAGTTACATTTCTTTAAATATATTCTGTTCTTCAGACTTGCCTGGTTTGGAAGTCACAAGGGTAGGTTCCAGAAGTCTCTAGCCTAAGGCAGTTTGCAGAGTCTCATAGGGAGGAACTGCATCAGAACCTCCCCCCTCCCATCCTAACTTGTTCAAATGCAGATTCCAGGCCCCCCCCCTGCTGATATGGGAGGTCTGGGTGGGAGCTCCTGAGCCTGAGAGAGACCTCCCCCTGGGTGGGGGAATCAGGGGCCTTCTAGCTTTATTTCCTCACATAGTGTGAATCAGCAAGGGCTGTCCCCAGGGAGCAAGGAGCTAGATGTGGGGGCTCTTTGGGGGAGAACTTGAACATCAGCATTCAAGGTAGGCTTGAATGTTGGATCTGTCACTAGTTGTGTAACCCTGGGCAGTTTACTTAATCTCCCTGGACATCAGTTCTCTTACCTGTGAAATGGGGGTGATGTCATCTCCTCCATAAAATTGTGTAAAGAGTGAAGGAGTCTGTGTGTTAAGTCTTAGTCCATTGCCTGGCACATCCCAATGACTGGGCCATTGGAGTCTATTCCTGTGATCTTGCTCTTTCCCCTCCTCCTCCTACATCCTCCTTCTCATCGTCAACAGTAGCTACAGCAGTAGTAGCATCCTTATCTTTCCTCCTCCTTTATGTGGGGCTTCTTGCTCCTGGGGAAGGAAGTGATTTGCGGGCGAGCAAATGATTTGGAAGGTCCCCTCCTCCCTGTTAATACCTGATTTCTCTTTCTAGGATCACCTAAACTTTTACTGTACTGGCAGCAGTTTGGGGAACTTGCTCCTGTCCATCAAGTGTGAGGAGGCAGAGGGCATGGAGTACCTTCGGATCATTCTCAGGTAGGGCTGCACAGTTGGAGGCCACACCTCTAGTGGCCCCAGAAATACCAGTCTGACCAGTCTGGTCTGTGTGTGCTGGGGGGGTGGGGGCGGGGGCGGGCCCAGGCACGGTCAGACTGGCTGGAATCCTGAGGCTAAGTTCTAGTTGCCAGGCCAAGAGACCAGGTATTTATGTCAGCTGGTGGATTGTGGGAGTCAGAGTGGTATCCTAGTCTCAAGGTCACCAAGGCCATACTCCCACCTACCTTTCTGTCCTGTGAGGACTGTGCTCTGAAGAATTTGGGAAGAACAACTAGAGATGGCTTATTCTGCTGAGCTACAACTCCATATTGTCCTGGGAGAAGGTTTGCCAGAACATTGTCTGTGTTGTGCATTCAGCTGGGAAGATAGATCCCAAAGCATCTGTGTGCATGCTGGATTCCCTGAGATGGAAAGGTGGTCACAACAAGAGCACTAATATACAGCTAAGCCAGGGAACCTCTTTCTCCTCAAGGGCAGGAGCTGGAACTGGTTTCTGTTTTGTTCGACTAACATGTTTTGTAAAACCTCCCTTTTACCAGGAAGTGTAATAGGTGCCGGGGATGCAATGATGACTGAGTGGTGATCTGTTTTCTAAAGGCTTATGGTCTAGTAGGAAGAAAAAACCAGAGGATTTTAGTATATGTCACAGGTATTGTTTTAGTGATATGTACAGGATGCTGTGGGAGCACAGAGAGTCTGTGCCTTATTTATCTGTGTCCCTGATGGGTTGGTGGAGAAGCCCGGAAGGCTAAGAGTTAGTGCTTAGCGGAGTGCTATGAACCTGTCAGGCTCCCAGTTTATAGTTGTTGGAACTGGAAGTCCTTGATTGTATTTAGAAAAAAGTAATAACATAATTTTCTCTGCCCAAATTTTGAGATAAATACAGGAGGGAGCAGGGGCACATAGCCGTGCTATGGGAGAAGGTGGGTGTGTGTATGGGTGGTAGAAGGAAGTTGTCAGCACCCATCCAATCTTGTTTTTTTTTTAAGAAAGGAAGCACTTTTTTTTTTTTTTTTTTTTTTTTTTTTTTTTACTGAGGTTCACTTGGCTAGAAATCACATTTGCAAGGCAAGGAGAAGTTAACTAAATTGCTAGAGCAAATTTTTTGAGAGAGTGATCTGTGGATTCCCAACTCCAAATAGGATTTTGAGCGAGGTGTATCTCTGTAAAGAAAATTATTTCCTTTCTTAGTAAAAATCAGACTTAGATTGGGTAGGATTTCTGTGTAAGATGACAGTTGAACACGAGGATCTAACTCCCTTTTTCTAATAGTATATCCTATCTGAAATGCTGCTTTAGAACTGCAGACTGGAGAAAGGTGTCAGGAACACAACACACACTTTGAACATTTTTAAAAATCATCTGCAGGGCAGTTAGGACTATAATGTAGATGATACTGAGAGTTGAAATCTAGCTCACCTTCTTTAGACAGCAGTGTAGCAAGGGAATATATGAAATTGGAGATTCTGGGGGAGTCCTGTACTCTTTAGAAGTGAGTGGGAGCCCTGGAATAGTCAGGAGTCTTTCCATATGGAACCACTTTTTTTGTTTTGGGTTGACAGCATTTGAAATCAATCTTCTGGGGAGTCCAAGGGCAAGCTCAAATGTGGCTCTCCTAAATCGAAACCCAGTGAGTGGGGTGGCAGGGAGAAGCTCTATACCAGCTAGGAAGTTGGGCAATCACATCATGTACTTAGGGTGATGACCAGGCCAAATTGAAAACCGGACGTAAGAAAATTGGCTCCACAGCTTTAGAAGCTTTACCAGACACAAAGAAGAAATTATGCAGAGGTGAAACTCCCCTGCTGACAGTGAATCCTATCACAGCATCTTCCTTGTTCCCTGTAGGCTTCTGGATTATTTAACTGATGTCTTAAAACAGCCAACTCTCCAGCTTAAAATCTGAGAAGAATATTCTGACAGCCTCGTGTGTGTGCTATGAGAGTAGCCAAGAGGAGAGTCTGTCCACTACTGCATAATGAATAACAGGCCCAAGTAGATTTCTTCTTTTCAAGTTTGAATATAAAGAAGTAGGGGAAAAAAAACCCTCACAGGTCAGTGAAAGAAAAGATTCTGCATCTAAAAAAATATTACCCTTAGCATTTAGAAGGTAGGGAAATGACTACATTTTAGAAAGGATTTACTACAGAAAGCCAAGTAGAATTTAGATTATCTATTAACTGTGTATTTTCAGCAAACTTGCAGAAAAAAAAATTGAAAGAAAAAACAAAAGATAAAATAGGACAACAGAATGAGATGAAAAAGTTGCTAATTAAGGAAGGAATATAAAAAAAAAAAACTAAAAATGACCAAGAAGAATTTTAAATGGTATTAAAAGCAGTAAAGAGGGATCCCTGGGTGGCGCAGCGGTTTGGCGCCTGCCTTTGGCCCAGGGCGCGATCCTGGAGACCCGGTGGGTGGAGCCTGCTTCTCCCTCTGCCTCTCTCTCTCTCTCTCTCTCTCTCTCTCTCTCTCTATCATAAATAAATAAAGAAAAAATATTAAAAAAAAAAAAAAAAGCAGTAAAGAGCAGAGTCTACTTTATGGAAAACCCAGTTTGTAATATTGAGAGCAAGCTTAAGAGGTTTTCACATAATTCAAAGGAAAACAAAACAACTCTAAAATGATGAGCAAAATTATAATGAATATGGAGGATAGTGAGGAGGAATTAAACATGAGGATAATTAATGTTTTTAAGCTGATTGAAGATACAACTCTGCGGATCAAAATGACTCACCCAATAGCGATAAAATCAGTGAAAGGAAACTAATTGCTGGACATAGTTTGATGAAAATGTAGTACTCTATAGACATAAAATCACTGGTAGCATGAAAATATTCCAAAATAAAGGAAGATAAAGAAAACATTAAAGTATAGGAAAAGATAGGAAGTAAAGAAATATAAATAAATAGATGTGTAAGTACATGTGATGTTAAAACTATAAATGAGTTAAATTCCACTATTAAATAACAAAGATTCTCAGTTTGAGTCATCCCTCTAACTCTCCACCACTCAATTAATGTATCTGTATTTTATTGAAGAAAGTAACTCAGTATATTTAAAAAGAAAAGTGTTGAGAAATAGTTATAGCAATCAAATACAGAAAGGTAGCTCAGTTGGCAGTGTTAATATGGAAAAGCAGAATTTGAGGCAAAAAAAAGCAATCAATGTGACAGGACTATTGTCTATGCATAAAAGATAAAGCTTTGTTCAGACAGGGCTTAATATGTGCCAGACTTTGTCCAGAGGTGGGGCTAATGTAAGGAATAAGGTCATCTCTTGTTACTTGGCTACAGAAAATATTCAGTATATATTAGGTATTCTTATTCCTGTTCTCATTCTCACTCATCTTCTTATGGACATGGGTTATTTTAGGCAGTGACGGAGATCCAAAGATAGATGGTATGGGAGAACTGGAAGAAGTTTCTAAGAGCTTGAATCTGGAGTGTGTGTCTGCATGTGTATATGTGTGAGGGTAGGGTTGAGAGGTCATGCTGAGAGGTAAGGAAAAGCAAAATCATGTAGGGACTGTGTCCAGGAATTTGGATTTTCTTCTGTGAGCCAGAGGAGAGCTCCTGAAAGGGGAATATCATGATATGATTTGCACTGTAGAATGATGACTGGCTAGAGAAAGGAGAATGTCTTGGAGGGAAGGCAAGGCCAGAAGCAGGAAGATGAGTGATAGGCTACTGTGATGGGTCAGCTGTTATCATGTGATTAGGCCACCAGGCTGCATAAGGTGAATTCTGCCCCCAGAACTGTGCAAACCAACAACCTTGATGGGAGCTGCACCAAGGTGCCTTACACTGAGGATAGAGAAAAATGGATGGAAAGTTCCAAAACATTAAGAAGGACAGCTGAAAACATTAAGAAATGAGAGCTGGTTTTACTGTTGATGAAATGCAAATAATGGTACTCTTTCAAAATGACTCAAGTATATTTAACATCTGAAGAAGACAAAGAATGAATATCATCTATAAAAGGGATAACAAATTATGATACAGTGAATGAATGGAAATGAATCAAGAGTGGATATACATGGGTACAAAATGAAAGAAATTGGAATTACTGGAAATAAAACAGTGGAAGTAAGGAAACCTCAACAACAGGATAAAATCTAGTCTAATATAATCTGTTCAGAATCAAAGCATGAATCTGTGCATAGAAGATAGTCTCAAAGAATTCATCCAGAGCATGGCACAGATGTAGTGACGAAATACATGAAAAAAAAGGAAAATGTGTGGATAACAGACTAATAGGTCCCAGTGTTTGTCTTAGAGTTTTAGAGGAGAGAGGCCAGTGGAGAAGAGCTAGCCAAAGAAACAATGGCTGAGAATATTTCAGAACTGAAGAAAGCACACACTGTGGTGCTGAGGCATGATTTTAAAACAAAACAATACTACTGGACACATTGAAGTGAAGCATTAGAACACCAAAGAGAAAGAGAGCATTTTAAAGCTGCCTAAGGATAAAGTCACTCATCTATTCAGTGATGTCAACCAGGCTGAGAACAGATTTCTTATCAGCCACAAGACAAAAGGACAGTATCTTTAAAATGTTGGAGGAAATAAAGAAGGAAAGAATCCGTTAACCTAAAATTCTATATCCAGAGAAGCTATCTACAAAGACAATAATAAAACTCTTTTCAGACAAAAAAAATGATGAGTGTACTACTCATGGACTCTCCCTGAAAGAATTACTAAAGGATGTACTTCAGCCAGAAGAAAAGAGAAATTAAAAGAAAAGATGCAATTAAAAAGCGGCAAGGGGTGCTTGAGTGGTGCAGTCAATTGAGCCTCCAACTCTTGGTTTTGGCTCAGGTCATGATGTCAGCCAGGGTTGTGGGATCAAGTCCTGCGTTGGACTCTGCACTCAGTGTAGAATCTGTTTGGGAATTCTCTTTCCCTCTCTCTCTGTTCCTCCTGCTCATGCTTGTGCTCTCTCTCTCAAAATAAATGAATCTTAAAAAAAATAATAATAAAGTGGCAAGAAATAGGTAAATTATTTTGACAAATTACTGATGGGGGAATAAAGAAATAATTTTTGTGTGTTTAAAAAGAGGCTTGACCTAAACAGAAGTAGAAAGGACAGAAGAGATTACTAAGTTACTGTTTCCTTTTCCCTCCTCAGCAGAGACATAGCAAGTAAGTTTAGAGTTTGTTGGAAAAATGTATACGTATGTGTATTGGAAGTTATTAGACCTGCAATCTATAGCTCAAACTAGCAGAGAGATAAAGAGAATTAAAATTTTTATTTTTATTAAGTTAAAGGTAGGAAAGGAATTTTAAAAAGGAAAGAAAGCACGGGGTATATTAAAACACAGAATAATAGAAATAATTTCAAATACATTAGTAACCACAATAAATATAAATATAAGTTGTCATATGAATAAACCAGACAATCAGATTGGGCTAAAAATATAGCTATATTCTTTTTTTTCCCTCTTTGCCATTCTTTTTTAAAATTAAGTTTGTTTTAATTCCAGTATTATTAACATATAGTGTTATGTTAGTTTCAAGTGTATAATATAGTGAGTCAGCAATTCTGTACATTACTCAGTGCTCATTACAAGTGCCCTACTTAATACCCATCACCTATTTCCCCCCACCCACCCACTCAACTCCTCTCTGGTCACCATGAGTTTGTTCTCTAGAGTTGAGTGTATGTTTCTTGGTTTATCTCTCTCACTCTTTTTTTCCCCTTTGCTCGTTTGTTTTGTTCTTAAATTCCACATATGAGTGAAATCATATGGTATTTGTCTTTCTCTGACTTATTGCACTTAGCAGTATATTCTCATTCCATCCTTGTCATTGTAAATGACAAAAAATTTCACTCTTTTTTATGTCTGAATAGTATCCTGGTGTGTGTGTGTGTGTGTGTGTGTGTGTGTGTGTGTATACACATACCACAGCACAGATTTTTTTATCCATTCATTTACACTTGGGCTGGACACTTAAGCTGATTCCGTAATTTGTCTTTTGTAAATAATGCTGCAATACACATAGGGGTGCATCCCTTTGTTTTTTTTTTTTTTGTTTTGTTTTGTTTTTTAATTAATTAATTAATTTATTTATGATAGTCACACAGAGAGAGAGGCAGAGGGAGAAGCAGGCTCCATGCACCGGGAGCCCGATGTGGGATTCGATCCTGGGTCTCCAGGATCTTGCCCCCGGCCAAAGGCAGGCGCTAAACTGCTGTGCCACCCAGGGATCCCAGGGGTGCATCCCTTTGAATTAGTGTTTTTGTATTTTTTGGGTAAATACACCAGTAATGTGATTCTGGTTTTAAAGACATACCCAAAGAAAAGACATACTCAAAGACATTCTTCTTTTAAAGACATACCCAAAGAAAAACAGTGTTGAAAGATTTCAAATAAAGAAATTGAAAAAAGGTATTCTGGGAAAAAACTAACCAATGCTAACAGGAGGTATAGCAACATTAATATCAGACAAAACAGAATTTCAGGGAAAAAAGCATTAGTAGGGATAAAGAGAGTGTACTCCTTTGTAAGTTGGAAATTAGTCTCCTGGGTCCTGATGTTTCCTGCTGTATGGAAGGAACACTTCTGTGTAACCCCTTTGGCTCTCTGTCTACTCTGATGAGTTAGGGAGCAAGAACTTGACATGGGAAGCCCTCATCTTTCCTTCTTCCCTCTTGGAGCTGGCTGCCTTCAGGGTGTGCCATTTGCTCCCCTGTACTGTAAGTCCCACCTGAGCAGACTCCTCCAGAGGAGGCTGGCCTCTTGCCCAGCACCACCTTTGGACAATCCTGGGGTTGAATTAGAAGACCTATTTCATCTTTACACTAAACTGGGTTTTTTATGAGTAACAAAGGACTTACTTTGAATTCCAGCCGTCTTACTCTTAATTTTGTTTCTGAATCTGTTCAATACCTGGGCAGAGAAAAATACCCTTTACTGGACCCATAGAGGGCTCAGTCCCCATGATGATAAACAAGATCTAACAGTCATGGAGTTATAATTAATAGTATAATCTTGAATTTAGAAAGGCCAAAACAGATAGGAATATAAGAAATAGACAAATCTTCCGTTATAACAGGAGATTTTAGTAACATCTTTCCGACACTAGTAGACCAAGCAGACAATTTAGATATGAACAAGGTATGAACAATACAGTTAACAAATCTGATCTTGTAATATACATTCCTGAACTCAACAAGAGAAAAAAAAATACATTTTTTAAAGCCCTCATGGAACATTAAAAAGTCTGTGCATTAAGTTAACAAATTTAAAATAACAGATTATGTTTTCTGAATATAGGAAAATTAAGTTTGAAGTCAACAATTACTAGGGCACCTGGGTGGCTCAGTTGGTTAGGCATCTGCCTTCAGCTCAGGTCATGATCTCCAGGTCCTGGATTCGAGCCCTGCATCAGGCTGTCTGTTCAGCAGGGAGTCTGCTTTTCTCTTTCTCCTCTGCCCCTCCCCATTGCTCATTCTCTCTCTCTTTCTGAAACAGGTAAATAAAATCTTAAAAGAAAAAAAATCAGTTGCTAAAGGAAGAGATCATAGACTTAGTTAAAAAAAGAAGACGACCCTTTAAATAACTCGTGGACTAAGGAGGACAAAAGAACTGACAAAATATTTTGAACTGAATGACAGTGAAAATACTACCTATCAATATGTGGGATGCAATTCAAGTGGTACTTAAAGAAAGATGTATAGTTTTAAATGCATTTGTGAAAAAGAAGAAGGATTAACTATGTAAGCATGCAGGTCAGGAAGTTATAAAAAGAACAGTAGGAAAAAAGCCCCAAAAGTAATACGAAGGAAATAAAAAAGACAAAGAACAAGGCTAGTGGGGATCCCTGGGTGGCTCAGCGGTTTGACGCCTGCCTTCAGCCCAGGGTGTGATCCTGGAGTCCCGGGATCGAGTCCCACATCGGGCTTCCTGCATGGAGCCTGCTTCTCCTCTCTCTGTGTCTCTGCCTCTCTCTCTCTCGCTCTCTCTCTCTCTCTCTCTCTGTGTGTGTGTGTCTCTCATGAATAAATAAATAAAATCTTAAAAAAAAAAAGAGAGAACAAGGCTAGTGAACTAGAAAGCAACAATAAAGGAATGGAGATGACAAAACCAAAAGTTATATCTTTGGAAAGATTAACAAAGTAGGTGCACCTCCATCAAGGGCTGATTATGGAAAACAGAGAAAACATACAACAGATCATGTTTCGACAGTGAAGGGAGGGGTGGGGATATGAGTACAGATTAAGTCCCAAGAGAATACCAAAACCCACTCTATGTCAGTGCACTGGTGGATAATTATATAGAAAAACATAAATTACCAAAATTGACTCAATAAGGAATAGAAAACCTAAATATTCACCATTAAATAAACTGAATTGGTAGCCAAAGATATCCCCCCTCAAAAAAACAAAAAACAAAAAATGAAAAACAAAAAACCAGCAAACAGAGATTTCACAGATGAATTTTAGCAAACCTTTAAGGACCAGTAAATCCCTGTGGTGTATACAAACTAATTCAGAGGATCAGAAGCTCCTTAGCAATTTTGTGAGGCTGGGATAACAACTTGATATCAAAACCTGACAAGGGAAGAACGAGAAAACAAAAAGTCAGTGTTGTAATTGATGTGAAATTCTCAATAAAATATTTACAAAATCAGCAGGATATGAAAGAATAATACATTATAAGCAAGTGAGTTTCACCCATTGGAAGGAAAAGATAGCTCAACAGAAATGTAATCTACCAGGTTAACAGATTAAAAACCATATGACTATCTCAGCAGATGCAGAAAAGCATTCAGTAAAATTCAACACTTTCATAATGTGCTAAATGAATGGGGGGGGGGGCTAAATTTAGAGTCTTTCTTACGGTGAATCCTCTTATAAAGCAACTTTCATCCCATTTATATTGTGACTAAATCCAGATTTTCAAGCATTAGAATTTCTTTTCATAAAGGCATAATTGCATGTAAGAACACACATCTCTCCAGAAGCTGTGCCCAGTTCTTTGGGAGAACACACAAAAACCACCCCACAACAACCCAGAAAGTCATGGTGAATTTGAGGGTGACTCTCCGCCTGTCCCACATTTCAGTTGCAGACGGCTCTACCAGGCAGGTTCTTACCTATCTTCCTCCTCCGGGATCATTGCAAGATTCCACTTTCCTACCTTTTGAGTGTCATGCCCAACTCACGGGTTGGGTGAAAGATGGCAGATCTGACCCCGGAAGACACGAAGCGAGTGTGCCTCATGGTCTGGCATGATCTCAGCCCCTTTCCTAATGGACTCCCTTTCTCATGGATGCCCTTTACTCACCCTCATTCATGTGCACAGGTCCAAAGTGAAGACAGTGCATGAGCGGATCCCCTTGGCTGGACTGAGCAAATTGCCCAGCGTCCCTCAGATTGCAAAGGTAAGAACCACCCCCTGTGATAAGGTGCCTTCCTCTTTTTAGCCTGGGGCTAGGGTGGGGATAACAGGCTTGTTCTGAGAGGGCTCTGCCCTTGGAGGGGGAAGGCCACTGTACTCTTTGGCCCTTGACTGTGTGGATGGGGTGGAGGAGGACTACTGGCAGATGCCCTCATCTTTCCTATGACCTCCCCATCTCATCCTCACAGCTGAGGCTGCTCCTGGTCTCTACCCTCAAGTTCACAGCTGGTTCAGGGGACCAGAGAAATGGAAAGACAGGGCTGGCTGTGGAGAGTGCTATAGGACTTGAGAGGAGGCAGAGGTGGGGTGGCTAGGGAGCCTGCACAGCAGAGGAGAGATGGGCTGGAGGATGGCCAGGCTGTTGGCCTAGACAGAGGACCCCCCCTTGAATGAGGAACTGTCCATCAGCTGGTGTCCATCAGCCCGTGTCACTGCTCTGGGGTACTGGGAACTTGAGACCTGAGTTACCCAAGTTGGCGGGGAGAAGGATGGTTGGTTGGGTTGGCCCCACATGTTGGGAGTGGGAATGCCAAGCAGAACTGTGCCTAATGCCTTCTGTGGCCTCATTTTATCAGTAAGCCCTAGGAAGATTAGTTAACTTTCCTGGTCACTTGTTAGTGAGCAGCAGAGCCATGATTCAGCCCTAGGCCTCTGACCCTACAAGTCCTGCCCTCTTGGGCTCTTTCTTCTGGTGGGCAGGGGAGCCCGATGTTTCCAGTGGAAATAGCCCCTGAACTATTTGTCTCTCTCTTCCTGCTTAGGCTTTCTGTGATGATGCTGTGGGGCTGAAATTCAACCCTGTCCTGTACCCCAAGGTGAGGACCTTCACCTCGTCCCCTTACCCAGGGCTCTCTAGCTTGGCATGGATTTGTATACTTGGGGGCTCTGTGTGATGTTCTCTGCATCTTATGGGGTTTTGTGGGGCCCCCAATAAACCTCTGTGTCTCCCACCCTCCCTTTGCAAATTGGTCCACTGGGAGCCTATCCTTGGCAATGCCTGGGTAGAGGCCCACCTGAACTGGTTCCCGTCTCTTGTGGGGGTGACAGGGGTTGCAGTGTTGTGCCTTCTCCCCTTTGACTCAGGGTCATACTTCCCTGAGTATGTCAGCCTGGGGTGGAGAGTTATTCTACCAGTAGCTGGAGAGTTAGCGCAGATCTGGTCTGTCATCATGGAGGTGCAAGGGGGGCAGATGGCGGAACCCCACTGAGAAATAAAAGGCCAGATCGTGGCTCCCCATGGCCGGGGTTACTGCAGCTCTGAGCCCTGACGAGCCCGTGCACAGACCTAGTTAATAAACGGGTTGGTTCTCTGTTACTGGTTTCCTTAGGATTGGCCTAAACCTGACCCCAGTCGTGGTGTGGGAGTGTGGGTGGGCAGAGGAGCAATAATAACAAAACAAACCAACAAACCCACTCAAGAACAATTATAGTGTGACAGGACTTAAATCACTCACGCACAGTGAATTGCTTTAAATTTGCCACAGGAAGAGAGCCAGTGCACACAGACTGTCTCTTTATGAGCCTGCAGGGCCTGGAGAGACCAGAGTGGAAGCAGAGCTGCGCTTCTGAGCTTGCACTGAGTTCCAGCACTGTGGCAGCGGAGGCCTGCTGGGGCTGGTTCAGTCTGTTCCCTGCATCCTACTTCTGGCAGCTTAGGGACAGTGAGGTGAAATGGTTGGTGGAGAAGGGAGGCCCTGCCCTGGCTGAGACATCCAGAAGCTCCTGGAACAAATGCCTTGGATGTTGATGATTGTGCTTGACACTGTTTATTCATGTTCGGTGGCTAAGCTGATGGCAGGGTTCTCTCCTGTACAGAGAATGTGCCAGAGCCCTTCTCTGAGACGCCCTCTGAGCATCTGTAGGCACTTACTGGTAATAGGCTTTCATTCAGGAAGGCTGCCCTTCCCTTTGTAATTAAAGCTGAATTAGTGAGGTTTAACCAAACATGAAAACCCCATCATAAAGGCCTAACTTGACTACAAATTTGGCAGTTTTTGTCATCAGATCCTATGCACTGAGAGAACCCGGTGACGCTCATTTGCACAGTTCTCTGTGTAACTTGGAAAGTCTCCGGCTCTGGTAATAGTGGAAGAGCAGCTGTATTTTCATGTTTTCTATATTTGGAGGACTGCTTAGTCCGGCTGGGTGTTAATCTGGCTGAGGTGTGCGTGTATGTGTGTGTATGTGTTTGTGTTTTTAAAATTCACAGAGTTTGGAATGTTCTTTGGAAGGTCTCCATGGCTGGATGCCTCTTCGCTGGCATAGCAGCTGCTCTGCACCTCTCACGGTTCCATGTGGGTGTGGGGTCTCCCTTTGGGGCTGGGCAGCAGTGCTATTCATTGGGGGGCGGGGAGCTGAGAAGCATCCATTTCCTTGGGCAGCTGAGAGCCTCTCCTGGGTCACATATCCTGACCAATCAGTCATGCCTTGTTTGTTCTTCCTATTGTGTAACACATGGTCAGATCCCTCCTTTTTACTGCAGAGACTATCCCAATAACAACCAAGTCTCCTCTTTCCTAACAAGCTGGCTTGGCTCTGATATTTTTGGAGAGTTATATAGATGGTGATGATGATGGCAGTAGCTGCTCTGTGTTCAGCACTTTATGTGCCTGGTCTTACTGAATGTTCACACCCACACATTTCCATTTAATGGATGAGAAAAACTGAGGCCCAGAGAAGTAAAGTGGTACACTCAAAGCTATCTAGGTAAAAGCAGCAGATTCAAGATACAGAGTCTAGTGTTTCTGAGCACTGGACACCAACACTGAGGCACAATAGAAAACTAAACAGAATCAATGGTCAGGATTCTTTTTAACCCCCTCCTTATATATTGTTTTAGGGCAGTATGTTCCTCCTTAGAGACATCTTACTTTGCGGATAAAGGGGGATTGAAGTCGGTATGAGCAGTGCCTTGCTCAAAATCATACGGCTGATCAGAGGTGTAATTAGAGCCAATGTCATCCTCTCTGCCCAGTTTTGGGGTCCTTCACTTTTTATTTTGTTTTAATTTATTTATTTTGAAAAATATTTTATTTATTCACAAGAGACACAAAGAGAGGCAGAGACATAGGCAGAAGGAGAAGCAGGCCTCCCTCAAGGAGCCTGATGCAGGACTCGATCCCTGGACCCCAAATCACAACCTGAGCCAAAGGCAGATGCTCAACCACTGAGCCACCCAGGTGCCCCAGTCCTTCACTTTTTACATCACAGATAAAGCACTGGGCTAAGTCCATTCCTTTAGTCCTGCTGGACTCCCTGTGTGCCCAGGCCATGGCTGGCATATCTGGATGGGAATGGAATGGTGATCCAGAGATGTAGCCACCATGGGGGAGCCCAGGTCGGGAACTAGCTGAGATCTCTGGCTTATCTTTTTGCCTCCCTGCACATGTGTGGACGTCTTAGACCGGGGGGACATATTCTCCACCAGAGTGGCTGTTTTCCCTTCCATTTCCTTCCTCATTTGTCTCTGAAGTTAATAATCTGATTTTTTTTTCTCTCCACATTTTTCCAGGCCTCACAAATGATTGTGTCCTATGATGAGCACGATGTCAACAACACATTCAAATTTGGGGTTATTTATCAAAAAGCAAGGCAGGTAAGTGCCACGAATCCATACTGGTCACCGAGCCCTGTGGTCTCTCACTGGGGACTCCCTCTTCGCCTCCCCCAATATGTGAACACAACCGTCACATTTCACACATGAATTAGGCTGGAGGTGACAGTCTTCAAAGTGGAGTACTCCTCACAAGAAGGCCTGCAGATCCTTTAAACAGCAATGTAGTTTTTCATAGAGTTAATTCTAATTCTTCCTGGCCACCTCAGCTTATATTTAACTATGGGCTGTTGTTGCAAGAAAAATCAGACTGAGTAGAGGGAATGGGTTAGCACAAACTGCTTTCTCCTAGCCTGCCCTCCTCCCAGCTGGGAATTAGCTTTTTTCCCAGAACTTCCTTAGATTGCTGGAGCATTGCATGCATCTCTTCCCAGCTCTGAGTTCAGCAGTGTCATGCTGGTTGCTTGAAATCAGCCATGGTGGAAGTATTTACACCATGGAAATTTGCAACCCAGGGCTTCTGTTTTTCCTCTTTGGAAAGCTGGCTGTTAAAAAATTTATCAGTATGCTACTGCTCACTCTTCTCTGTCTCTTGTAGCACTTATACTTTGCTTTGGGGTTAGTTGGTCAGAATAATGTTTCTCAAAGTGTGTTCCATGAGACACTAGTCTGGTAGGTACTCTGTGAACAAAGGACTCTGGGTGGGGGCGGTTGTGTGAGAACATTTTAAAAGCTCTAAGAACCTAAGGTAAAGAGCTCATATAATTATGTTGAACTCAATGTTTCCCCTACTTATTTGACCACAAACTTCCTATCTTGCCTACTATGGACATTTATTAACATCCTGAAAAGTGGTTTGCTAAACACACCCATGTTTCTTCAAGTAGAATGGTTCACACCAATTTCATCTTGGTATCAACCAAGAGCATGGTGGTTTTATAGAAATATACTCACAACTTTTTGCTGTGTGAATTAATGGATAAAGTTTGATGCTTTTATGGTAGGTTGATAATATCTTTCAATATTATCTGTGGGTTTTTTTTTTTTGCATGATGGTGTGTTTCTTGGCTAGATGATAGCTGACTTCCTTGTCTGAAATTATTAGACCACAGGAGACATGTGTTTGCTTAAAAACATTCTAATTAAGTGAAGAGTTTAGGAGCTGAGAGGCTAACACAGATGAATCTTGTAATTGAAGGGAGATTATTCAGGTAGCTGCTCTAATTATTTTTATATATTGCATATTTATTTTGTACAGCTCTGCTAATATAAGCCTCCTAATTAAAGTTTTTGCTTGTGAAATTTACCATAGCAGATCTCATAAGGTGATTACAATCCAGTGTTCCAGCAAAATTATAATTACTGAACGTTAACCATCCATCTCTGAGAAGAGGTCTGTGTATTGTTTATTTACCTAATGCTACTGAGCCAGGGTGGAGGTACACAGGGAGATAAGTATTTTTTTTTTAAAACTTCTTAAAAAGTTGTTGTTTTGCAAACTTATATCCATGGGGCAATTAATATGAACATTTGTTACATGAAAGCTCTGTGCTGTTTTTAGGATATAAGTAAGTCCCATCTAATTCTCCTGTTTCTCAGGCACTGTGCTAAACACTGCAGGAGTTACAGTGATGATTAAGACTCCCTTCCTGAGTGTGTGGTCAAACTCGTGGCCAGTGTAAAAATTAAGGCAAGCCAGGCTAATACCTGGCTGGGTGTAAATCCTAGAGAGAGGCACACCCCAGTGAGTAAGCTGAATTGGTTTCCCAGTGGAAGATGCACATTACCCAGAAGCAGCTGTTCTTCCACACTCTAGCCTCATGACCTGGGGTAAACAGCCTGGTGGGCCAGAGTTGTCATGCCTTTGTGGCACGCTATACATTAGGGATCAGCACACTTTCTGTAAAGGGCTGGATAGTTACTATTTTAGATGTCATGAGCCATACTGTCTCTGTTGTAACTACCCAAGCCTGTCTTTGGAGTGCAAAAGCAGCCAAAGACAAAACTAAATGAATTGTCTTGGCTGTGTTCCAGTAAAACTTTATTTATAAAGCAGCAGGCTGGATGTGGCCCATGGGCCATAATTTGCTGACCCCTGCTAGGGAGCTGTGTCTCCTAAACTTCAGTCAGTCACAAATGACATCCAAGATCATATTTTCTACCATATGCCTCTGTTACTTTTTATCACATCTATACTATTATTAACCACCTAACATTTTCTTTAAAAAGTCTTCATTGTTTAAAGGAAATTTTGTATCACTACTCTAATTAGAAAATTAGTATCCCTTACATGAAATGCAGGTAATTCTAAACAGTAATACTATAAAAAAGGGTAAAGTTATTGAAGCCTAGCTAGATTCTGTTCCCTGTTGAAGGCATAGAACCTGGGATCTGCTCTTTTTGTTATAAGGCAGGTATTGGGAAGATACTAGAGAGTCACCTATTAAAGACTTTCTCCTTGAAGTGATTGTGTATACTGGGGTATGTCCTGTGTCATATGCAGCTGCTGAGTGCCATCTGTGGATGTCTGCAGAGTCATCACTGTTTGCTGGTCCTGCCACAGTGGGCAGAGCCTGCAGATTGGACAAGGCCCCACAGTGTTTCAAGCTTGTCATAAGTGTAGAGTTTACTACTGTTTCCAGCTTTGCTTTCTACTTTTTTTTTAATTATTAAACTTTTAATTTCTAGATATTTGTAGATTGGCATTGCAGTTATAAGAAGTAATACAGAGAGGTCTTGTGTACTCTTTACCCAATTTTCCCCAAAGGTAATGTCTTATAAAACTATAGTGCAGTATTACAGCCAGGATATTGATTGACACTGATACAGTCCTCAGATCTTATTCAGACTTTCCCAGTTTCACATGTGACTGTGTGTGCGTGTGTGTGTGTGTGCTTTATTGTATATAATTTTATTACATGTGTAAACTTCACAGTCAAAATACAGAAGATGTCCAGCAAGACAAGAATCCCTTGTGTGGCCCTTCCATAACTGTGCCAGCCTTTCCTCTTGCCTCTATCATCCCTTCCACCTCCAGTCCCTGAGTCCTGGCAATCACTAATGTATTCTCCACTTTTTAAAATTCTGTCATTTAATAAATGGAATCATATACTTTATAACCTTCGGGTATTGGCTCTTTTCCCCATTCAGGGAGGTTCATCCAACTTCTTAAGTATATCAGTAGGATTCGTTTATTTTCATGGCTGTGTAGTAGTCCATGGTATAAATATCTGTTTTAGTAGTTACCCTTTGAGGGATATCTGGATGGTTTCTAGTTTGGGGCTATTATGAATAAAGCTGTTATGAACATTTGTATATAGGTTTTTGTGTGAACATAAGTTTTCATTTCTCTGGGGTAAATGCCGAGGAGCATATGCTGGGTTATATGGTGATTACATGTTCAGTTTTGTAAAAAGCTGCTGAACTGTTTTTTAGAGTGGTTGTTCCATTTTGCATTCCTACCAACAATGTATATGTAATCCATTTCTTCTACATCCTTACCAGCATTTGGTGGTGTTACTATTTTTTAATTTTAACCATTGTGATAGATGTATGGTAATGTCTCAGTATGGTTTTATTTTTAATTTTTATTTTTTTTCAGTATGGTTTTAATTTGCATTTTTCTTTTTTTTTTTTTTATAAATTAATTTTTATTGGTGTTCAATTTAACAACATACAGAATAACACCCAGTGCTCATCCCGTCAAGTGTACCCCTCAGTGCCCGTCACCCATTCACCCCCACCCCCCACCCTCCTCCCCCTCCACCACCCCTAGTTCATTTCCCAGAGTTAGAAGTCTTTATGTTCTGTCTCCCTTTCTGATATTTCTCACACATTTCTTCTCCCTTCCCTTATATTCCCTTTCGCTATTATTCATATTCCCCAAATGAATGAGAACATACACTGTTTGTCCTTCTCCGGTTACTGTGGCCAAGTTCAAAAAGGGTGTTGCCTGAGTTCTTCTCTGGGATTTTGATGGAATCTTGTCTCACATTTAGATCTTTCATCCATTTTGAGTTTATCTTTGTGTATGGTGCATGAGAGTGGTCCAGTTTCATTCTTCTGCATGTGGATGTCCAATTTTCCCAGCACCATTTATTGAAGAGACTGTCTTTCTTCTAGTGGATCGTCTTTCCACCTTTATTGTATATTAGTTGAGCATAAAGTTCAGGGTCCACTTCTGGGTTCTCTGTTCTGTTCCATTGATCTATATGTCTGTTTTTGTGCCAGTACCACACTGTCTTGATGAACACAGCTTTGTAGTACAACCTGAAATCTGGCATTGTGATGCCCCCAGATATGGTTTTCTTTTTTTAAAATTCCCCTGGCTGTTTGGGGTCTTTTCTGATTCCACACAAATCTTAAAATAATTTGTTCTAAGTCTCTGAAGAAAGTCCATGGTATTTTGATAGGGATTGCATTATACGTGTAAATTGCCCTGGGTAACATTGACATTTTCACAATATTAATTCTGCCAATCCATGAGCATGGAATATTTTTCCATCTCTTTGTGTCTTCCTCAATTTCTTTCAGAAGTGTTCTGTAGTTTTTAGGGTATATTTTGAGAACCATTTGAATGGTAAATGGTTCTCCAACCTTTTATTTTCAGGTTGTAGGTGTCCTTCTGTCTAAAATGAGTCTCTTGTAGACAGCAAATAGATGGGTCCTGTTTTTTTATCCAGTCTGAAACTCTGCGCCTTTTGATGGGGTCATTAAGCCCATTCACGTTCAGAGTTACTTGAACTTCTTCTTAAAGGGGAGTTTTAAGAGTCCCCCTTAAAATTTCTTGCAGAGCTGGTTTGGAGGTCACATATTCTTTCAGTTCCTGCCTGTCTTGGAAGCTCTTTATCTCTCCTTCCATTTTGAATGAGAGCCTTGCTGGATAAAGTATTCTTGGTTGCATGTTCTTCTCATTTAGGACCCTGAATATATCCTGCCAGCCCTTTCTGGCCTGCCATGTCTCTGTGGAGAGGTCTGCTGTTACCCTAATATTCCTCCCCATGAAAGTCAGGGACTTCTTGTCTCTTGCTGCTTTAAGGATCTTCTCTTTATCTTTGGAATTTGCAAGCTTCACTATTAGATGTCGAGGTGTTGAACGGTTTTTATTGATTTTAGGGGGGGATCTCTCTATTTCCTGGATCTGAATGCCTGTTTCCCTTCCCAGATTGGGAAAGTTTTCAGCTAGGATTTGTTCAAATACATATTCTGGCCCTCTGTCCCTTTCGGCGCCCTCGGGAACCCCAATTAAACGTAGGTTTTTCTTCCTCAGACTGTCATTTATTTGCCTTAATCTGTCTTCATGGTCCCTTAATTGTCTGTCTCTTTTTTCCTCAGTTTCCCTCTTTGCCATCAACTTGTCTTCTATGTCACTCACTCGTTCTTCCACCACGTTAACCCTCGTCGTTAGGACTTCTAGTTTGGATTGCATCTCATTCAATTGATTTTTAATTTCTGCCTGATTGGATCTAAATTCTGCAGTCATGAAGTCTCGTGAGGCCTTAATGCTTTTTTCTAGAGCCACCAGTAGCTGTAGAATAGTGCTTCTGAATTGGCTTTCTGACATTGAAGTGTAATCCAGATTTTGTAACTCTGTGGGAGAGAGGGCTGTTTCTGATTCTTTCTTTTGAGGTGAGGTTTTCCTTCTAGTCATTTTGCTCAGTGCAGAGTGGCCAAAAACAAGTTGTATTGGAACACGGGGGAGTATCACTGGTCCGTCTAGCTGGTCTTCTGGGGGAGGGGCCTGCTGTGCTGATTTTCAGGTGTCAGCACTTGGGGGAGCTGCTCTGCCCCTGCCTGCTGCAGGGCTCAGCGGGGGTTGTTTACCCGGTCAGGCCCCAGGAGGAACAGCCGCAGTTGCTATGGCAACTCTGGAAGCCTGGATTCAGCCTCCGCAGGAACTACGGGGCTCGGGGCTCTCGGTTCTCTGTCCGCAGGGCCTGGAGGCTCCGGGGCGGGGCCGCTGATCTGCTCAGCTCGGGGCAGGAGCGTCCTTGCTGTCCTGGGCCCTCCCGGCCTCTGCCTGTCCCGGGGGAGGCCGGATCCTGGGCTGTGTCCTGGCGCCCTGTGCTCCGGGGCCTGCGCTGGTGGATTCGCGCTCCCGCCCTGCAGCTCCCTCCCTGGAGCCGCTCCCGAGCCCCTCCGAGCTGCTCCGGTCGGTCCCTCCGTGCGCGCTGCAGCCCTTAGGGAGCTCGGAGCACTCTCCTGCGCTCGCAGGTGTCTGTTAGTGTCCCCGGGAGCCCGAGGGCATCCCCGCCCTCCTGGGTCCTGCTCCAACTCCCTGCGAGCCCCTTTCCGCCCGCCCGGGAAGGTTGGTGCAGCTCCTGCTCCTCCGGGACGGGGCTCTCCCGTCCTGGGGACACTCGCCCCGGCCTCAGCCCGGCTCCTCGCGGGGCCCCTCCCCCTCGGAGGCCTTTTGTTCCTTTATCTCTTTTTCCCCCGTCTTCCTACCTTGATAGAAGCGCAAACTCTTCTCACTGTAGCATTCCAGCTGGTCTCTCTTTACATCTCAGGCTGAATTCGTAGATTTTCAGGATGGTTTGAAGGTTATCTAGGTAACTTGGTGGGGACAGGTGATTTGGGGACCCTGCTCTTCCGCCATTTTGCCCCTCCCTCTAATTTGCATTTTTCTAATGGTGGCTCATGATGTTGAACATCTTTTCACGTGCTTATTTGCCATCTGTATATATCTCTTTGGGTGGAATGACTGCTTATAGCCTTTAACCATTTTCTCTTTCTTCTTTTTAAGATTTTATTTTTAAGTAATTTCTATACCCAATATAGGACTCAAACTTACAACCCTGAGATCAAGAGTCACATGTTCCACTGACTCTCTTGACCATTTCTAATTGTTTTTTTTTAATTGTTCAAACACTTTTATAACAGCTTTATTGAGGTGAAACTCACATATAATACTACTCATAACAGTTTGAGAATTATATCTCAATAAAGTGTACAGTTCAGTGGTTTGAAGTATATTCACAGAGCTATGAAACCATCACCACGATCTTAACTTAAAATTTTCATCAATCTCAAAAGAAACTCCATACCCATTAGCAGTCACTCTTTCACCATTATCTCCAGCTCCTGTCATCATAAATCTACTTTCTGTCTGTACAGATTTGGCTGTTCTGGATACTTCATATAAATGCAATCATAATATGTGGTCTTCTATGTCTAGTTTCTTTTGCTTAGCAGGTTTTCAAGGTTCGTCCATGTTGTAGCATGAGTCAGGCCTACATTCTTCTGATGGCAGAATTATATATTGTATGGACATACCACATCTCGTTTATCCACTTTTCAGTTGATGGACATTCTGGTGTTTCCACTTTTGGGCTTATGAATAATGCTGCTATTAACATTCATGTGCAAGTTTTTTTGTGGACTTATGTTTTCATTTTTCTTGTATATATTCTTAGGAGTGGAATTGCTGAGCCATATGGTAACTCTATGCTTAGCCTTTTGAAGAACTGCCAGACTGTTTTCCAAAGAGACAGCACCATTTTACATTCTCACCAGTAGTGTATGAGGCTTCTGACTTTTCTGTATCCTCACCATCAGTTCTTTTTTTTTAAAGATGTATTTTTTTTTTAAGAGAGTGAGAGAGAGCGTGAGCAAGTGGGGGGAGGGGCAGAGGGAGAGAAATCCTCAAGTAGACTCTCCACTGAGCAGTGTTCTATCTCAGGACCCTGAGATCATGACCTGAGCTGAAATGAAGAGTCAAATGCTCAACTGACTGAGCCACCCAGGTGCTCCTTACTATCAGTTCTTGTCTTTCTTTTTGATTATAGCCGCCCCAGGGGGGTGAAGTGGTATCTCATTATGATTTTGATTACTACTGAGTTTGGGAGTTCTTTATATATTCTAGATACTAGTCCTTTGCCAGAAGTCCAACTAATTTTTCACTTATGGATTGGTTTTTGGTATCAAGTCTAAGAACTCTTGCTTCAGCTTTGTCTTTTGTACTGACCAGCAGGCTTTGTTGAGATAGAAAGTCCTCATTAACAAGCCCTGAAATTCCAGCTCTGCTGAGTGAGCTTCTTTTTGTTCTTCTTCAGTCAACCAGAGACACTGGCTCACAAATGTGCTGAGGGGTAGGGAGAAAGGAAGGAAATGATCAGGTAGCTGGTCAACCATATTCCTTCCATTGGCATCAAGAAGGCTTTTCTAATTCTTACCCCTGGTTCTGTTTCTCTTTCAGACCCTGGAGGAAGAGCTGTTTGGGAACAATGAGGAGAGCCCAGCTTTCAAGGAGTTCTTAGACCTGTTGGGAGACACGATCACCCTGCAGGACTTCAAAGGGTGGGTATCAGCAAAGAGAGATGACTCCAGCCTCATTGATGAAAGCCCGGAGTAAGGGATCTGGGGAGCAGCTGAGTGTCAGGCATATGTGAGAGGTAAAAAAACACAAAAGACACATGGGATTTTTCAGCAAGGGATCCACATCTAAATGCATTCTTAAGGAAGCAGGTGAGATGGGGGATGATCCAGAATGGCAGGTTATGCGAACAGCACTGATTTGGCCATCTGATGCATGATAAAACTGCTCCATCCCAGGTTTGACTCAGACCAAGAGTGAAATGAATCCTCCTTCCTCTGTCACTCACCTGCCAAGCCTTCAGGAAGGAGGACCCTGTGCAGTTTGGGGGGGAAGTGGCCCATTTTGGGTAATACCCAAAAAGAATGGGTAATTAAGAGTTGACGGAAATATAGTAATCTCCCTGGCAGGAATCTTTTTTCCCTCCTTCTGGCAGGAATCTATGTAGTAGTCTCTGGTTCTCTAAGTGGAAAGAAAGAATATTGGGGTCATAGCTTGGAAAACTATGGCCTGTGCTTTTCCTTGACAAAGGCAGCATTTAAGCAGGGCCTTCAGACCTGGCCAGCCTGCTCTGGTCTTCATGTCTGGCTCACAGCTGAGCTCCGAGAATCCCCCTCTACAGCATCCAGATTAGCAGGATCTCCTATCATGTGCGAAAGCACCCAGCTCTGGGCCTGGGGTGGGGTAGTAGGTGCTCAGTGATTACTTTCTTCCTCCACTCTCTTCCCTTTCCTTTCTTTTCTTTACCCACCTCTTCCTCTGTCTTCCTCCCCCAACAAGGTCACCACTGCCATCTGGAGTCAATCACACATGGCTACAAATCCCACCTCCACCACTTACTGGCTCCATGATTTTGAACGGTGACTTCACCTCTGAAAGCCCCAGTTTCCTCAGCTGTAAAAGGGAGGGAAAAATACTTCTGATGCTGCCAAGTTGTTAAGAGAATGATGTAGATCACACGTGCAAAGCAGCCGTGCTGGTGCCCCATGCGGAGTGAGCACAGTGATCCTTGCATTACTGTTTTTCCTATGCCACCTTCTATCGACTCAGAGGTGCATCCTGATTTCAGAGATGTTAAGATGTGAGAAAAGGTGTGCCTTAGAATAGATGAAATAAAGCCTCTTCAAACCAGGAAGACCCCAGAGATCATGGGCTTCTAGCCCTTTATTGAAGGGATACTGGGGCCTAGGCAGATTAAGTCACATGCCCAAGGTCTCCTGGATTGCCTGACCCCTGGCCCAGTGAACTTCCCGCCATGCCTGCCTGAGCACATATTCTGGTTTGTATTACAGCATATGTGGGGACTGACATCCATGGTCTGCTTTATTTCATTTTCTTAAAGGAACCTGCAACTTCCTCCCCCTGCTGAAGAATGTGATCCATGGCCAGGAGCCACATGTTTATTAAGGAAGAAGGGGTGGCTCCTGGAAGCCCACCCAGTTTCTTAGTACTTTTCTTTCCTGCCTTCGAGGATATAACTGGAGAGGGGCTCCTTGGATACCTCTAGATTGGGTGCTGCTCTGGTAGGGTCTCCATATCCGGGACTGGCTGGGTGGAAATCGAGCATTTGTCACCTGTTCAGGCTGACTTTGGATGCTCCCGACAGGATGGCTGGTTGCCCTGGTTCTGGGCTGAGGACTTAGACATGGCCTTGCAGGGAGAAAAGGTTTATGCCCAGCCATGGAGACCACGGGCACCTGGGACAGCATTTGTCTGGGATTGTAGGTGGGTGACTTCCCTTCCCACTGACCCTTTGGATGTCCTGCTTCTGTCTCTTAAATAATAGACTAATGGGCAGGACTCTGGAGCTTGTGTGTGCTGAAGCACAGACCTGCCTGCGTCACATACATCATTATCTCTGTGTCTGGCTCTTCCGTGTCTTCTCATTCCTTCTCCTGCCCTTGTATCCTCGGAAGGTTGCGCCATGTAGCCCATTTCTTCTCACAGTCTCTCCCTCCTGCTCTTGCCCTGTTTTACTGACAGTTTCCGAGGAGGCCTGGACGTGACCCACGGACAGACGGGGGTGGAATCCGTGTACACGGTATTCCGGGACAGGGAGATCATGTTTCATGTCTCCACAAAGCTGCCGTTCACCGAGGGAGACGCCCAGCAGGTAACCTGGCTCAGGAGGGCTTTGGGTGTGTGGGGCATGTGAGGTGAAAGCCTGCTTCTGGTCTTAGGTAGTTGAGGGGCTGCAGCCCCCTCCATCTTTTCATGATCCGGAGGCCAGTCTGTTCCATTAAGTTATCTCACCCAGGTGGCTCAGTGTGGTTAGAAGACTGTGTCCCGGTTGATTAGGGGCAGAGCTGGGAGCAGAGTCCAAGTGCCCTGCTGGAGCACACTCAAGCTCCAGCAGTGCTCATGTAGGGTGGTGGTGAGGGGGACATGATGGAATTTGCAGAGAGCAGCTTGATGCCAGCTCTGCTCTCAAGGATATGTGACCCCCGACAAGCTGGTTAACCCTGTGGCCTCATGTTCCTCATGAGTCAGAGGATTGTTGTAGGCATCACAGAAGGTTCTGACTGTAGGGCTCAGGACAGTGGCTGGTTGGTGGCAGGCTTCTCTCCTGCCTCAGCAATAGGTGGCAGGCCCCCCGACAGTGATCATTGCCCCAGACATAGCCCCGCCTCCTAGCCTTTCTAGTTTGCTTGGCCTCATCTCTCATCACACCTGCTCATGGGCAGGAATTTGGCCTTTATCACAAGCAGGGTGAGACCTCTGCATCCAGCATTTTCTGCCCTCCCTCATTTGCTGCTTCTGAGAGTGGCGTGTCCCCAGGGCGACCTGGCTCTTCTCTCCGTGAGCCCTGAGACCAGCAGCAGAGGCCTGGCTGTTGCACCATCTGCCCCCTCCCACTCTTTGTGCTGTTTCAGTCTCTAGGAAACTCAGAAAGGAAGGTAGACTCTCCACCAGACTCTGACCCATTCCTCTCTGAGCAGAGATCTGAGGAGGGAGCACAGATGTAATACTGTAAACATAGTGCCTGGCTTCTTAGGGAAAAAGGAAATTGGCAAATGAGACTGTGATTTGGCTCTAAAATAACCACTGAATGTTCCAGAAACAAATGGGAGCAGGATTCCTTTTGAATCTAAAGTAGGTTTTCTCTCCACATCTCACTTTCGTCTCTATCCCTCATAGCCTCCTTGCCCTATGCCCCAGCCTGGGGCTTTCTTTCAGTCTCCCTTGTATTCAGTGGGAAGTACACAGGGCTTGGCTCTCTGCAAAAGACTGAATAAATATTAATTTTCTCCTCCCAAGAAAGGGGAGGAAGTGGGGGATAACTTTTACAGTTTGTGTAAAAGCACCCAGCATGGGGCTCAATCTGTATAGCAGTGCTCTGGAAATAGGACTGATGTGAAACATAGGGCCTGCATGCCTTAGGTGCCTAATAAAGGAACAAATCTGAAGCTGAGCACCCAGCCAGAGCTCCATGTACAAGAGGGCCCCAGGATTGGAAGTCCTGTGTGTGAATACAGCACAGCATGGGTCCTGACGCACCATGGTAGGTGCTTGGTGATCCAGATCACCTGTGAAAGCACCTGGCCCAGTTTGGGGCACAGAATCAGGCTTGGGTTTCTCTCCTGTGACCTCTGCCAAGCCAAGTTGCCCTCCTTCTCTGAGTGTGGCTCTCCTTTGCTCTGGTGTAGAATCATCTGCCAGGTCATCTGGCTTATCCACATTTCCATCAAGCTCTGCCCACCCCCTACTCCCATCTCCTTTTCCAGGAAGCCTTCTCAGATTAGCACCAGGCCTCTGATTTTACTCTCCTCTCTGCCCCAGAGGGCCAGACACTTCGTGTGGGGCAGCTGATTTAGCACATGCTGGCTGGTGCCTTTCTTTCTGTTCTTAGGTAGCTTCACCTGTGTTTGTGTCTCTTCTGGATCCATTACTGGCTTTACCAGGGCAAAACCTGTCCCTCACCTTTTAACTATTCTCCCTGAGTCCTGAGTCAGGGCTCTGCATGCTATAGAGCTTGGTAACGTGCTTGCTAGCCTCTACCTAACATATTAAGTGTCTTCCCCATGTTTTTCTTTTTGATGGTTTCTAAAGCCTGAGGAAAACTCCCTTGAAGGGCTAGGTCTCAGAGTTTCAGGATAGAATAAAGATAGAATTATGAGAAATTTCCTGCACAGATCTATTCTGTTTTGAGGATGTTCCTAGCTGGCTTATAACAATGGCCCGCTTTCTGTTTAGCTCCAGAGAAAGAGACACATTGGGAATGACATTGTGGCCATCATCTTCCAAGAAGAAAACACACCATTCGTCCCTGATATGATTGCTTCCAACTTCTTACATGCCTACATCGTTGTGCAGGTCGAGAACTCAGGCACAGAGACCCCGTCCTACAAGGTGAGGAAAACGATTCAGTGGGGGAGGTGGTAGGCCCAGGCATTTCTCCATACATTCTGGATTTAGTAATGTCAGGGACCACTAGTGCTCGGTGGCTCCTCAGGTCATTCTCCAAGATGGTGCTCCTAGTGTTGGTGTGACCAATGTTCTGAAGGCCCACGTTCTGGGATTTGGGAGCTGGACTCTTGTTGGAAGGTACCTTCTGAAGTCATCTCATCTTTCTGGCTGCCTCCAGGTTCAGCAGCATCTGACTCAAGGATTGAGAAACTCCTGGTGCCTCTGTTTGGAATCTGGTGATGCCATTGGCTGGACTAAGGCAGAGCCAGGGGAGAGCAATAAAAGAAGAGAAGGGGGTGGGTGGCGGTGGGGACTGCTAGGACAGCGAGAGGAAGAAGGGTGGTAACAAAGGGAAAAAAATGTAAAAGAAATGTTGGTGGTGAGAACTGTGGAGGGCAGGGGGCCCGGTAGGCCTTGGCCTGGAGTGCGTCCTGCTGGTTTAGCTGTTCTGGAAGAAATGATAGATCTTTATTTGAAGACTCCCACAGAGGTGGGGTTGCAAGCAGCTGAGTCCAAGCCTCCAGATCAGTAAGTGGTCTTCCAGAATGGCTCAGTGTCCTCCCTAATGCAGAAAAACCCCAGCAGCTCTCACCTGGCCCGTTCCTGATGGTGGTACCATCAGCCTTTTCTTTCTCTTCTCTGTAGGAAACAGTTCTGACCTCTTGCACAACAGCTTCTCCCTCTCTCAGTGGTTTTGGGGGGTGTGTGATCCAAGGGAGATAGACTGAGGCAGGGTCTTTTAGGTGGGTTAGTCTTTAAATCCCTTGTGGATATATGCAAAATGTTGATATGCAAACTTGTTTATGCGTAAAATGGTGAGTTTATGTGATACTTTGTGTTTTAGGGGGAGAGAAACCGAAGCTCAAATTCTCAGAGGGCCCCTCTGCTCCTCACAGTGTTAGGAACCACCAGTCTAACAGGGAAATGAGCCTGTCATTGCTAATGAGAAATTGGGAGACCTGAAAATGTCATAACTTGGGCCAGTGCTGGTTCTAAGGACTCCTGAAGCCCTAATGCTTCCTGAAGTATCAACTTTGCTTGAAGATTTAGGAAGAGAAAATGATGCATGTAATCGTCATATCAGTAGAAATCCACACATTTTAAATGCCTAATTCACGTCAACTTTAAAATTAAATATGAGACTACAAACAAAACCCCACACTCTCTGCTGTGAGGCAAGCTGATTCTTTCATATTCGGACAGTCACATTCATGCTCCTCTGTCACTGAGCAATTTCAGCCAAAAAGTTGGAAGAGCCATGGCTTGGGCATTTCCTTGATGACCCACCTTCCTAGACCAAAATGGGCACTCACTTAAAACAGCTGCTTGAGTTGTCGATGGAAGCAAGTTTATTTTTTCAGTGCCTCCTGTATGCCAGGCAATGTGTGAGGGGTGGGGCCTGTGGAGGTGACATAGAGAACCAGCCTCCGAGGAGGGAGAGAGGACCATTGAGTGGTTTAGCTGTTGGACCACTCAGACAGCCCACTGGCTGTTTTCACAGCTGGTCGAGGCTGAGAGCCACTGAGTGGGAACTTTGAGGTAAAGCTGTGTGGTGGGAGGACCCTGGCAGGCAGTCATGTGCGAACGTGCGGCTTGTCTGCTGGGCCTCTGAGGCAGATTGGGGCCTCCTGACGTGTAGTATTGGTTTTTCTATCCCAATAGGAAATGGACCTCAGCTAACTGGCTTCTCTACTCTCCCAAGAGCTTTGTAGAGTGAGAAATACAGAAGTCCCAAAAAAGCAGCACCTCACCTCAAGCTTTGATGCTAGTAGTCTTTACCAAGTCTTTCCAGCCCTAGCCCATGGTCCGGGGCAAAGCACTGTTCTCAGAGAGGATGGCAATAGCAGAGAAGCAGGGCCCACAGGAAGAGCCAGACTGTCCCAAGGCTGTGGGACTGTGTGGTCCACCTGCCGGGCAAACCGCCAGGCCAAAAAGGCAAGATCTGCGAGTGGGGGCCAGGGGTGCAGAGTGCAGGGAGGCTGGCCTTTCAAGGCACTCCCTTAAGCTCTGTCCTTTCACGTTCCCAGCAGCACCACAGGTGCTGAGAAGACAGAGGAGGACCTGATCCAGTTCCTCAGAGGATTCAGGGTGAAATGAGACCTTCACTGACCTCTACAGACTCAGAGGCTGTGGCAGAAGAGACTGAGATATGCCCAGGAGCCCCCACCGGGGAGGAGAAACAGGAAAGAAGAAGAAAGGGCGGGAGGACAGGGCAGGAATGTGCAGGAAAGGCCCCCAGACCAAGAGGCTCAGGAGCTGGGGGTTCTGGTCCTGGCCCTGCCTCTGACTGCTGTGTGGCCTTGGGCCAGTTTCTTCCTTCTCTGGACCTCAGCTTCCATTTGTGTGAAATGAGGAAGTTGGACTTGACAGTCTCTGGGTTCTTCCAGCCCTGACGTACTGCAGGTGGGAAAGCGGAGCTGGGGCAGGGGTATTGAGGAAGAGGGGAGCGATGTGTGTGTATGTGTGTGAGGGAGAGATTAGGAAGTGATTTAGAGGAACTCTGTAATAGTTTAGGTGTCCTTTATCAGGCAGGTCAGCAGGGAAAGTAAAAAACCCAAAGCGCCAGGTAGTAGGTTACCCCTCTTCAGGTATTGGCTCCCTACCAGGCACTGTGCTGGGCCCTTAGAAGCATATAGTCTTCTTGAGTCTTCCCTAGACCCTGGTCAGGCAGGGTCTCTTGTTAGCCGTATTTTATAGGAAGGAAATTGAGGCTCAGAGCTTAAGTTACTTAAGGCCCCAGGCCACAGAGCCCAGAAGGGGTGGAGCCAGAATCTCTGTCCAGGTCCACCTGTGGTCAGCATCACTGAGCCGTCCCAGCAGGTGGGAACTTGGCTCTAAAATTCAGGTGTACATAAAATGTTACATCGGGTTATTTTTCAGACATGAATTTTGTCCCCTGCCAGATTGGAAGGGAACTCCAGCTGAACCATCACCCAGAGCCCCTCCTCTTCCTGTCTGAGGCCACCCTGCCCCTGATTTCTGAAATTCTGCAGAGGTGTTGGGAACCCAGTGTGAAGCACACAGCACTGGGGAGGCCCCTTCCCCTCACTGCTGATCTGGTGCTTGAGCACCTGGCTCAGTTCTCTAAGGCTTCTAGGCCATACTTGGCTGTGGCATCTCAGGTTTGGAGTGTTTGGAGGCTCCCCACCTCCCTGGCATATCCTTTTACTCTCTTGCCCCAAGCCTCAAGCCTGCTCCTGTGTTCAGGCCTCTTCCTCAGCCCTGCCCTGCCCCCTGCTGGGAGGCCTGCAGTGAACTTAGAAAACTGGGAGGTGGGGTTGTGTTCTGGCATCTTCTGCTGCTGGCCCGGCAACCCACTTGTCCTCGAGAGGAGGGAGCTGCGAAGAACTGGCACTGCGTTGGAAAGGGGTCAGGAGAGGGAACACTGTGGGAATAGATGATACATGACTGTCACCGGAAGGATCCTGTCCTCTGCTTTCCTGACATGGCCTCTGTGGTGGGCTTATCTGGTTGGGAGACTCAGTGGGTGGGAGGGCATGTCTGAAGCTCCTTACCTGGTTAGCACGGACCGCTGTAGTGCAAGCCGGAGAAGGAGGGCCACTGGGCTGGCAAGAGGGCAGAGGCCTGAGCTCTGGCCTCCTCCCAGGTTCCTTCCTACCAGCCCTCCCCAGATTCCTGTGTGCAGTGGGTGGTGGTGGTGGGGCTGTTTGGCAGCTAGAACCAGCCAGAAATCTTGTCAGCTGAACACATACCATTTCCTAATTCTGGGCATGTAGACAGCCTTGAGCTTGGGGAGAGAAAGCCGCACTGACCAGCTCTCTCCCACTGTTTCCTCCCAGACCCTGGCAGGACCTTCCCTTGGCCTGGCTCCAAGCTGCCTGCTTGCCCGGTCTGGCAGACTGTCTGCATCTGCCCTACTTCACAGGCCAGGGAGGCTGGCAGCAGGCCAGGGCCAGGCTCACGTCAGTGGCCGTCTAGGGAAGGGAGAGGGCACAGTCTCCAGAGAGGTCTGTGGTCTCGTGGGTTGAGAACAGGTGAAACCAGGGCACCTCCACACGGGGATAGCAGCCGGACTTGTGGGGTCTGTCCTGAGCCTGGGAGGCTCCCACACAGAGCACCTGGGTGCTCTCACTCTGTTAGCTTGTGCTTTCCCAGGCTGGCCAGCCGTGTACAGCCACCTGGAGCCTGGGTCGCCCTGTGCAAAGCAGCTTCATGTCCTCTCACCCACAGTTCTCAGCCTGGGCTCTGGTGCTCTGTTAGTTCAAGCTTCACCTGGACGGTCTGAGCCTATGCTTGGGGCCAGGGCTCCTGAACACGAGTCCACCAACCACACAAAAGCTCTGAGGAGCATTTAACAGTTGCAGATTCCTGGGCTCCACCTCAGAGCTTATGATTCAGTAGGTTTGGGGTAGAGCCCATGCAGTCGGGATTTATTTTTGAAACCCTTGAAGTGATTCTGATGTGTGGCCACATTTGGGAGTCAGTGTTGTAGGAAACAAACCCCAGGGCAGGGTCAGGAGGTCTGGATTCTCTGACCATCTCTGTGGCTAATCACCTGTGTGCTTGTGGGGAGATGGCTCTCAGTCTCTGGGCACGTGTTTCCTCATCAGTAAAACAGGGCTTACAATGCTCACTTGGCCTTCTCCATGGTCTGAATATCCAGTCACATGAGGCCCCCTGGGCACTTGCATAGCAGTAAGAAGTCGGGCCCTAGGTCCAGTCATCTTGCCACACTGATTTCTGGCTTCCAGGAATGCAGCAGAGAGCAGTAGATAGCTTTGTGCGGTGTAGCCCCACTTCCAGCAAGGTGGCCCTGCTGGTGGTAATGGCTCACGGGAGCGTCGTATTTACATTCTGGGGAGGGGTAGAGATCTGCTGTGAGCGGTGGGCATTGCTTGGGCCTGGGCTTGGGGTGCGTTATCCCCAGCTTGGACCCCTCCCCCTACCTTGGCCCACACCAAGACCCTGTTTCAGGTCTCAGTCACTGCACGGGAAGATGTACCCGCCTTTGGCCCACCTCTGCCCAGCCCTCCTGTTTTCCAGAAGGTAAGAAATTCTCCTTTCCATTCTTACAGAAGACTCCAGGTTTCAGTGTCTGAGTGAAGTGGCTGGAGTGGGCGAGAAGCACCTTGGTCAGCTTGGGAGAATCTCCTTACCCGGGGTCTTCTCCACCTCTTCGTGCTGCCCGTCCGGCCCAGTACAGCACCCTCTGTCAGAGCATTTGCCTCTGGGGTTGTCTTTCTGCTAGAAGAGAGTTTTGTACTTATGCCTCCATCTGAGGAGCCTCAGATAAGAATTGCCTCCTGTCACAGAAACGGTGTGTGGGGGGGTTGACTTCCCAGCAACGGGACAGCCGGTTTCCACCAGAAGCATCCTACCAGGTGGTCCTGGTCTGGGCTAGAAAGTGACCAAAAGTCAGAAGGGGACCTTGTAGGGGCCCTCCCCAGGCGCCCCGTTCTGCTTTCCTGTTACTGTGGCTGAAAGCCCATTTGGCGACAGCTGGGCTGGGAGCATCCCAGAGCTTCTCGTCTGTTCTAGGGCCCAGAGTTCAGGGAGTTCCTGCTCACCAAGCTCACCAACGCAGAGAATGCCTGCTGCAAGTCAGACAAGTTTGCGAAGCTGGAGGTGAGAGTTCTGTTTTTGGAAGTCTTCCTGCTACCTTCCCGGCTGCTTGTTATCCAGCCTCTCCTGTTATCCAGTCTGTTCCTGGGGGCTTCTTTGGGGGAGGAGCACTATCTTTGCCCACCCCTCTGAGCTTTCTTCAGCCCTGTGTTGATAGAGGAACTCTTTCTTCTTGTGGAAACTCCAGCCAAACTTTAGGCCTGGCTGACCATTTGCCGGTCATTTATTGAGCACCTGCTGTGTGTGGAGACACAGTTTCTGTCTTCCAGAGGTTTTGGACTGCTGGGGAGGAGCCATTACTTAAGAGACAAACATGGCACAGTGTGGGCACTTGGCCACAATGGAGGCCAGCATGGGGGCTATGACCACTTCTGCCCATGTAGAACAGGAGTGTGCTCAGAAAGGGCTTCTCTGAGGAGGTGGCCCTTGGGCTGCTGAATCTAGATTAGATATTTGATGAGCCTTTTGCCAGGAGGAAAGATTGGGGAGGGTTATTCCAGGCATGGAAAACAGCATAGGCATAGCCAGGCAGATCAGAGCATGACTTTTGAGGGAGCCCCAGAGGGTTTTGACATGGCCTGAGAGAAGGACTCACGTGGGGGGTGGGTGGAGACTCGCTGGAGGTGTGGTTGGGGGCAGGTCAGGAAGGGCTTTGAACTCAAGAGGTGATAAGGTGCTAATAAAGTACTTAGGAGAGTGGTGGTTTGCTTTGTATGTTAGATTACTCTGGTGTTGATGAGAAGGACAGATCCCTATGGAGGAGGGCAGGAAAGGTGGCAGGCTGGAAGCTTTTACAAGAGTCTAGGGCAGATGATAACAGCTTGCTTGTAAGGGATGACTCTTCACTGGCATGGGGGCCATTGGGAAAGGAAGTCTGTTAGGATCTGCTGACCTGGAGGGGCCTGCAAGGGCTGCTGCAGGGCTAGTGCTGGAGTGTGTGAATGGTGCCCCCTGGACATTGTATGCATGGCCCTGGCCCACCGTCTGGATGGAGAAGAGCTGGGTGTAGGGTTGTGGAGCTTGAGGTGGAGATCTGAGCTGGGAGTCAGGGTAGAGCCGTGGGATGGCCCAAGGAGAAGGGGTAGGGGAAGAGAGCAGAGGCCACAGAGCTTTATTGCTAACCGCAGTATTTGTGAGCACGGAACCCAGTGAGGCCTCAGGTCCACACTGTCACAGGGATGCTATTGGTTAGGTGTTGGGAGCCCCCCGGGAGAGGGCACATCTCTGTCCTCTGTGCCAGCTCCGTAATCCCTACCCTCTTTTCTTTCAGGACCGGACGCGGGCCGCCCTGCTGGACAACCTCCATGATGAGCTTCACACCCACACGCAGGCTATGCTGGGACTGGGCCCTGAAGAGGACAAGTTTGAGAATGGAGGCCATGGAGGATTCCTGGAGTCGTTTAAGGTATAGGCCCAGGAGTGGGCTGGCATGGCGCATGATGGGGGGGAGGCAGGATGCAAGGTAAGAGCTACAAGGTGCATGTGGTCCTGCCCTCAGAGCCTAGGTGCCAGTATGGCAGGGTTGGCAGAGGATGGGGACCTCAGGAAGCATGAGTGGTCGGAGCAGCCAGCAGCATCTCTGGCATCCTCCACATCCTTCCTTGATTCAGATCATCTCCTCCTGGCCCAGGAGTCTGAGAAGCAGGGATGGGGAGAGGGCTGGGAGCAGGAGGGGAGCCAGTACAGACCAAATGCTTCCTTCTGTGTCAGGATGAGGAACTCAGGGCCGGAAAACAAGAGTGGGGACACAGCTTTTGGGGTCTTTAGCAGCCAGCGTGTGATACTGCAGTGAGTTTTTCCAACTGGCAGGGCATTGGAGGACCTGGCCAGGGCCAGTGGGCTAGTAACAGGCAAGTAACTCCCTGTAGACCTTGCAAAAGGAAAAACTTTCTAACCATAACAACTGCTAAAAGAAGTAGTGAGCTCTGTGTTCTTAGAAGTATTCAAGTAGAGCTTGGACAGCCACTGAGCCGGCTTGAGTTGCAAGAGGTTTATTCTCACGCACTTGCTGAGTGTTCTGTGGTCCCCACAGTGCTGATGTCCAGCATCTAGCTTGATTTGTGCAGGTGCTGTTCTGTGCAGCTGTTCTGTGCAGTCAGCCGGGCGGCTCTTGTTATTCCCACTCACACACAAAGGGACAGGCCCAGGGAGGCCTCAGCACTGTTCAGAACCTTACACCTACTTAGAGAAACAAACTTAGGTTTTCTGGTTCTTAGGTTAACATTCTGCCGGACTGCCTGCTGCAGAATGATCGGTAAGCAGACAGTGTGTGTGGGGTCAGGGTTAGCCCTGTCCGTGCTGCGCTCGCAGCTTGGTGCGATCCTGGGCACAGTAACGTTTCTGAGCTACAGTGTTTTCCTCAACAACACAGGGATGATAAATTGGACCTCTGGAGTTGCTGAAGGAGTTCACCAAAATAATACCTGATGCTTAGTAATGTGCACACTGCCTGGAATACAGTAAATGCTCAGTGAGAGCGGCAGCTGTTGGTGGTGGGTAGGGTGGGTAGGGTGCCCCACACGCACTGTCCCATCTCAGGCCACACCGCACCCTCTGTGCCCTGTGAAGGAGGCTGTTATGATGGGGATAATAATTCATTCCTGACTTTATGAATTATGGGTATCATTTTACATGTGAGGAAATTGAGGCTCAAAGAGACAAAAATTGGCTCCGAATCCGCTGGGCTGCAGAGCCTGTGTTCTATCCAATCCTGCCTCTGGTTCCTGCCTCAGTGAAGATTCCACCCATGCTAGCCTGGCCTGGGCAAGCCTGGGGTCTGTCCCTGGCCACCGGGGTAGACCACAGCGGTCAGGGCCTGGCTCTGCTGGCCCCAGGCAGGGCAGCCACTGGGATTCCTCAAGGAGGCAGGGGAGGCGGGAGGAGCTGAGGCACTGGCCCAGGTGCTGGGAGACTCCAGGCATCTGTTTCAGGTCCACAGGACAGCGACCGCCAGGATGAAATGGGAGAAGGTGGGGAGGGAAGGGGCCGGAGGGAGAAGAAGGTCTGGGGGGATAGAGGGCACCAGGTCAGCTAGCCCCGGGAAGGGGACAAGCTGTGCGGCTCCCCCCTGTGCCATATGAAGCCTATCCCAGTGCTCCAGTATGCCACGGGAAATGTTATCTAGCCACAGTGTCAGCTGTGGGGGACCAGCTCACATAACGTGAAAGTTTGCAGAGTTTAATGGAGTGTGTGTTGCTTCCACTTTTGCAAGTTTCTGTATTTTGAAGTTCACCATTGTTTTTTTCCAAATTTCAATTGTTTTTTGGAACCTGGGAAAGCCGGTAGGCTGTGGCCACTGCCTATAGTGCCCAGGGAGAAAACAGCCCAGCAGCTTCATGCGGGCCGTGGGGCTTGCAGGGAGGGTGGCCTGAGGCCTTTTGTCTGGCCCTCTGCCTCTGGAGGAAAAGCGCTCAATCTGCCTTTGACTCCGGTGGCTCTGACTGAAGGGGTTTCTAGAGAGGAGAGGCTTCAAGACTTCATCGCGACTCATCTTTGATCCAATAGTCCAGAGCCTTTTTCTTTTCAGCCCTTAATCCTTCTGTCTTTGTGGGCTGAAGACAGATCTGCTTGTGCATTCTGCTTCCACTCCTGTCCCTGAGGTAGCACTTCTGGGAGTGCGGGAGCGGCTGTCAGGGTGGTCACACAGTAAGCAGTAACCTTGAGAGCTCTCCTCGTCATGGTGAGCTTCACTGAGTCGGGAGCATCAGCACTTTTGCCCTGTCCCTCCCGCCATTACCCTCTCGGGTCCCAGGCTGTGGAGGCCAAAGCTGGGGGAAGGCCAGGTGCAGCAGCATGGAGCCCGGTGGCCCCGGGGGTTTCTGATGTCTGGGCTGTGCCTGTGGCCAGGGCTATGGTCTGATCCAGCTCAGGAAACCACCTCTCATTTTGATGTTTCTTCATGCACCCCCTAGGGTGGTGCTGTGGTGTCAGAATTACTAGTATTCCTCAGGGAGCTCCTTACCCAGACCTCTGTGGGACTCCTCTTGAAAGAAGAGGTGCATGAAATGATTCCAGAAAGAAATGTTGCATGTTTGATCCCCTTCTGGTCAAAGGTCTCATCTCACATGGAAACAGTTGAGAATTCCCAGGGCTAACCACAGTCTCCACCGCCCATCCCCTTGCCCCTTGGAACCGTCCTTCCCTCTCCCAGGAAGCAGACCCATCACTGCCCTAGAGCGAGCTGCTCAGAACCTCCCACCGCACAGGATAGTTCTCCCTTCTTACCTCGATTCCACGGGCTGTAATTTAAGCTTTCCTTCCGTGAGAAACAGAACAGTTGGTTTATGGATGTCCAGACCTGCTTCTCAAACCAAGTGCTCAGAGATAGTCTCAGAAATCTGCCAGTTCTACCAACACTTAAAAATTTTGCATTTTCACTTAGATGATAATCTAAAAATATACATATTTCCAATTATAGAGACTAAACTTTTGCAGTGAAACTCACAATGAAAAGCATTTCTGTGGAATAAGTAGGTATCTTGAAAATGCAGTCGCTACGCCTGCTGCTGTGGGGGTCTGTGGAGGTATTCTTGGTCTTGCAAGAATATCTTCCTTTATAAAAGAGCTATGCATTTTTCACCTTTGAAAAATATTGATCCCCAGACGATTGTTCTCAAATGCTGTTCTCAGCTGCTACCAGCTGTTGATGAAATTTGTATTGGTCTGTAATCAAATGAAAAGAAAAAGTAACACCATTTGATATAGCTCTGTGATATGTATGCAAAGCACACGGGAGCCACATTTTGAGAAACAGGGAGCTAGCCCAGCCCTCCGTGAAGCTCTTCATGCAGAACGGGGATTGGAGGACCAGGGGGAAAAAGCCCAGTGGCAGAGTGGGGACCACAGCCAGCAGGGACAACTGCAGGTGAATTTCTCCCGGAACTTTGAGGCGAGGTGACAGCTAATGCACCGGTGTACTGTGACCCCTAGTGGCAGGAGAGGAGCACCAGGCAAAGTACCTGCCAGTAGGGCCGCCTGGGTGGCTCATGGTTGGAGCCTGGTCTATGGAGATGTGGAGGGTATTTCCCTCTCCTATCAACCTCCATCCTTTGTTTGCCCTGCTAAGGGGACAGAGGCCTAGTTCCAGTCCTCAGGGTACCTCAGGACACCTCCTGATGAGGAATGATCTCAGGAGGCAGGCAGTTAGCATCCCTCTCCCCAGGCAGCCCTCTCTCTACTGCCTGCCTGTGCAGATAGGCATGCCCCCCTTAGTACTCGTGCCTTGCTCTGTCTCCTTAAGTCTGTTGAACTGAAACAACTCACAGGGGCACCTGGGGGGGGTCTCAGTCAGTTAAGTGTCTGCCTTGGGCTCAGGTTGTGATCCGGGGCTTCCTGCTCAGCTGGGAGTCTATTCTTCCTCTCCCTCGGTCCCTCCCCCCAGTTCATGGGTGAGCATGTACTCTCCTTCTCTCCCAAATAAATAAATAAAAATAAATTTTAAAAAATACATTTTTTTAATTTGGGGCACCTGGGTGGCTCAGTGGTTGAGTACCTGCCTTTGGCTCAGGGTGTGATCCCAGAGTCCTGGAATCAAGTCCTGTTCAGGTTCCCCATAGGGAGCCTGCTTCTCCCTCTGCCTGTGTCTCTGCTTGAATGAATGAATAAAATCTTAAAAAAAAACACACACACACACACAAAATAATTCACAGAACCCATTTGGAAGCATAAGGGAGCACAAACTCATAAGGAAGCAAGGATTGTGGTTGGCCCAGGAGAGACATGTCCCCTACATAATGCTAACTGATAGCTCAAATCCCTGCTGGAATGAAGTGATACCCCCTCTTTTTTCTTACCCCTCTCCCTCCAAAGGGGAGCCTGATCAGAGGTTAGCCATGAGCTGAGCTGAGGGCTGGGCGACCATCAGGGCCAAGGAAGGACACTGGAAGCAGAGGTGGTTAGCTGGGAGGAGCACAGACTCAGGACAGTTGTGTCCTCAGACAGTACAAGGACAGCTGGGTGAAATACAGGAATAGACTGGCCTAAGACTGCAAGGCCTAGAGCTGGTAAGACTTCAGCTCAGTGCATGGGAGACCTCTCCAAAGGTTGGGCAGTTCACCCCTGAACAGGCAGTTTTGCAAGCAGTGAGCAGCCTGTCCCTGGGAAGATGCAAGCAGAGGGGACACTGTCCTTTCTCTGCCCTTCCCCCCTTCCTTGGACTCTTCTGCCCACTTTGAGGTTAGTGTTTTCAGTTCTTCATCAGATTAAAATATAAAATCCTTTAGACCATATTGCTGGGTTATTTTGTCCAAGTCAAGCTTTTAAGGTTTTGAGGCAACCATCGCGTCTCTCACCTGAGAGCAGGGGAGAAAGCTGGCCTGGAGTGAGCAGGTTTTCCACCAGGCATTCAGTGCACGCGGCCTCCTGTTGTCCTCATGCAGGACCATCACCACATTGTGCACATGAGGAGGCTCAGTGTCAGAGAGGTTCATACGTTGCGTTGGGAAGACCAGGAATCAGACCTCTTCCTGTAAGTGTCAGGCAGCAGATGACCACCCTGCATATCCCTGGAATCCCCAACCAGCCCATTGTCTCCTCAGACTTTTCTTGCTGATTCAGACAGCGGCAAGGGCATTTGAGGACACAAGATCCTCCCTCACACCAACCTTGGAGCCTTTTGAGAAGAGGCTGGGGGCCTCTGCTTTCTAATCATCCTTTAATCTACCAACCAGTTCAATTATATGTTCAGTTGGGACCACTTTTTGGGATACTGGGGACCCTTTCATCTAGAGCCCAAGGGCCTGAGTTGGGGTCCACCTCCTACCCACGGTGTGACGTTGGGCAATCATTTGCCATTTGGGACCTTTTCTCTTAGTGCCTGTCCTGTCTGCATCTCAGGGTTGTTGGGAGTAAGTTCATATATATGAAGCTCATAATAGATAGAGCAGAGCCTATCATACCACACCTCATCTTTCTTGGAAAGAGACTATGAGGAATGCATCAGAACATGCACAATTAGCTGACACGTCATTGTTAATGACAGCAGTAGTGGCGGTGGCCCCACAAGGGCACCAGCACAATGTCATGATGCTGAGATTTATGGAGCACTTGACTCACTAGGGAACCTTGCTGTTCATCCAGGGACACCTCAGTGCGGTGCCACACTCTCAGTTCAGTTCCTGCTCTCAGTTTTTGAAAGGGTGTATGACTTAATGTTGTCTCTGGGTGATGGAATGAATAGAATGTGCTGGCTGGAAACTGTTGCTAGGCGATGCCATTCTGTGGTTAGAGATGGGGAGAGATGATGTCCTTCAAGTGGTGTCTTTGACTCACACAGGAGAGGCTCAATGACTTCAGGGACAGGAGGTTGGTGGCTCTGTGCCTCCTTGGAAAAGTAGCAAGTCTCCAAGGCAGTCATCTTTGCAAATGACCCCCCTTCCTGAACTGGCTTCCTGCATCCATACACTTGTCCTTCTGAGTCAGTTTTCTGAAGCTTGGTTTCTGAGAACCTTAGCCGGCTCCCACAGTAAGGAAAAGCCGCGAGCCTAGCTAACAAGGAGGCTCAGGGTGACTCATGGCTCAGGGTGGCTCTCAGCATCCAGATTCTCTCCCTTGTCCCCTCAGCAGTCCTGGCTGGTCACCTCTGTCCCACCGGCTTGATCCCTCACAGTCCCAATGTGGCTCCTTACAGTTCAGGTACAGAATGTCACATCTTTTTTGGCAATCCTTGAGACCACCTTTCCTCCCAGCTCCCAGAAGACATCCTCTCCTGCCCCTGCCCCCCTGGCAGGGGAATAGGTTAGGTGACCTCCTTAAACTGATCATTGTCCTGTGGGGGAAGAGGGGAAATTGGACAAGACGGTGGTGCTGCCACCAAGGAATATGGTGGGGGTGGCATTTTATGTGAGCAACTCATGATATCTCCATTTGTGTATCTTTGCATGCATTAGGATTTATATCTGGATCCTCTGTTCTACCCCCTATTAGCTGTGTGCCCCTGGTCAGGTCACTTATCTTCTCTGAGCCTTAGCTGTGAAATGGGATGGAGGTATTCACACTGTGGGCTTATTGTGAGAATACATCTCAAGCTCTTGACAGAGAGCCTGGCACATCACAAGTCCTCAATAAATGTGGCTACTCTTCTTTTGGCATGCTTCCTGTGTGTCCCTCCCTGTGCTGGAACTGAGACAATGGCAGGAGAGGAGTCAGGGATGTGTCAGACCTGACCCGTATCTCTAAGAAGTATCCACGTCAGCTGGGGAAACCAGATGCGTTCCTAAAATTAGGACAATGCTAAAAGACCCAGGCCTGTGGGAGTACTCCCTCTGTGTTAACTAGCTGTCCTCACTATGGCCACTGTCCTTGGGTCTGGTTCCAGAACAACAGAGACCTGCACAGTGGTCGGAGGGAGCAGTCGTCACCTCCCAGGCCCCTCTCTGCTTGGAGGCTCAGCAGTCTTGATTTTAGCTGTTCCTATCCATGCACACTGTGACAAGCCCCCGATTGCCTTGGGTGCCCTCTCCTGGACACTTCACTGTTTGCTGGTGTGCCCTTTGCTCTCTGATGGCCCCACATGGGCACAGGGCCCTGTGTGGCCTGAGTGTGCACGAGTGTGCACGAGCCGAGGGCAATGTCCACAGACCCTGCCAGGAGGGTGGGGACATCCAGTGGACTGGGCTGCAGCTCTCACGTCCCTGTCACTTCTCCCCTCAGAGGGCCATCCGTGTGCGCAGCCACTCCATGGAGACCATGGTGAGCAGCCAGAAGAAGCAGCACAGTGGAGGCATCCCTGGCAGCCTCAGTGGAGGCATCTCGCACAACAGCATGGAGGTCACCAAGACCACCTTCTCGGTGAGCGCCGCAGGCCCCGGGGGGTGCCCAGGTTCCCAGGGGGCCCCCTCTAGGCTTGCCAAGGAGGGTACATACACCCAGGTGTGGGCCAGGGGACCAGAGCAGGACCCAGGGCCCTGCCTGTGAAATGGAGCCTCCATCCATCACCGGTACGGCTGGGGCTGGCCCAGAAGAGAAGTCCTCCCTGTCTCCTTCCTGTTTTCTGAGTTCCTTTGATGGCTGGGCTTCCTCCCTGCGGTTCACCCTGCAAAATGATTTCTGTGCCCAGGGGCTTGGGACCCGTGAGGTGAGGGGTATCCTTGCTTTGTTATTAATGATCACAGTAGCCACCCCCGGCTTGCTCTGCACCTGGGATGGAGCGAAGTAATTTCACAGACATTATCTCATCTGATTCCTGTAGCAGATGTGTTCTCCATTTCAAATTTGAGGAAAGGAGGTGCAGAGAGGTTTAGTAACCTGCCACAGGTCACTTAGCTCAGCTGAAGAGCTGGGATCTGGGTGCGTGTCTCCCTGACTGGGAGTCTTTGCCATGAATCACTGTGTATGCAGTTCCCAAGGAAAGAGCCTGGCATGTCTGTGGGTTTGGGCCTGGCCTGCTTGCACCAGGGATGGCCAGGTAAGGGAACCACATAATTGGTCCATTTAAAAAACAAAATGACTTTGGATTCCTATAATCTAGGATTTTTTTTTCTTTTTCAAATAGAATATACCCATATTGATACTAAGGATTAGTATTATAAGTGGTCTTACATACTTCATTGAACTTACCAATTATTTTCATAACTACTGTCTTGTTCTACACAGAAGGTCTGTGAAATGAGCAAGACAGGACAGTTATCCCCATTCTGTAGGTGAGACGGGGGCCCAGAGAGTTTGGGCTCCTTACTCAGGTTTCACAGCACACAAATGGCACAAGTTGGAGCCTGCTTTAGAGGCAGTCTCTAAAGAGTGACTGCAGTCTCCCTCAATCTCATGTTCATCGCCCCTGTATGTGGCAGAAACAGAGCCACATTCTTGGCGGGTTGCCTTGGCCTGTGGATGCATGTGGTCTTGGCTCTGCTGCTCATTCTGTTTTGTTATTGAGACACCCAGTGTGGACCTCAATTATTTGTGAGGAATGGATGGAGAGTCCGAACCCTGGGTTCTTGTCCTGCCAGTGATTCGCTGTATGACTGTAGCCCAATCCCCTCGCCCTTTGGCTCCTCAGCTTCCTCATCAGGAAGGTGAGAGGTTGGACCAGGTCACCCTCAGGGCTCCCTTAGCTTTGTGGTTCTCAGGCTGTGATCCCCTGAACCATCCTGACTTTTTCAATATGCTGAGCTCTCTTTAGGGTGGCCCTGACCCCTTGTTCTTCTAAGAATTCTGGTGTTTGGTGACCATTACATGGGGCCACAAAGTTTGACTTAAGAACACAGGAAAACAGGCTGCAAATGGCTGGAATCTGGGGGTCTCAGCTCCTGTTACATGGATCTAGCTTTCCCAGCTGCCTTGCTATTTTCTGGGATCTCTTCCAGACTAGTTGAGGGGTGCGGGAGCTATTTGTAGACCAGAAAGTGGGGGGCGGTGAAGAGAAGGAGACTGGGGTCTGGAATGGGCTGTGAGCACTCATTTTGTCATTGGCAGCCTCCAGTGGTGGCAGCGGCAGTGGCAAAGAACCAGTCACGGAGCCCCATCAAGCGGCGGTCGGGGCTCTTCCCCCGTCTGCACACAGGTTCTGAAGGCCAAGGCGACAGCCGGACTCGATGGTAACTATGCAGGGCGGGGTTTGTGGGTCCTTCCACCACTGCAGCCGCCAGATGCCCAACCTTGGGGAGTGCTTTGCACAGCCTCAGGAGATAGCTTCCTTCTAACCTTGATCCGCACTTTAGGCACCCGCACATCCCAGCCCCTCACTCTGCTCTGTCCACTGAGGCAGATTTGATCAGTCTCTGTTCGGGACTTTCTAGAATTGTCCATGTCACATTTGGAAATGTTGGTTGGATTCTTTTTTTTTTTTTTTTTATCTCCTTTTCCAATGCTCACTCAAATATTTGCTCTTATGGAAGCCTTCCCTGATTCTGCCAGACAGTTCATTGAACTTTCCTTAGGGCTTCTAGAATGTTTTCTCTCTCTTTCTCTCTCTCTCTCTCTCTTTAAGATTTTATTTATTCATGAGAGACTCAGGGAGAGAGAGACAGAGACATAGGCAGAGGGAGAAGCAGGTTTCCTGAGGGGAGCCTGATACGAGACTCAAATCCTAGGACCCCGGGGATCACGTCCTGAATCAAAGGCAGGTGCTCAACCACTGAGCCACCCAGGTGTCCCCAGGTGGTGTTTAAGGCAGATCAGCAAATAAATACCACCACCCAAGGCAGTGTGGAAAGTGCCTGGAGAACACCAGTATTTCAGGGCAAGGGGAGAAACAGAAGGAAGATGAGAGAGAAGAAAGCCGAGTGGGGAGGGATTCCAGGAGGGAAGGTCTACAGTGTCAGACGTGCAGAGAAGCCTTGCAGTATGGCCCATACCCCTGCATGGGTGGACAATTAGGAGGGGATTAGCAGCCTCTTTAAAAGTGCACTTGATGGACTCACACTTCTGGGATGGTTGTCATCAAAAGACACAAAAAAACAAGTGTTGGCAAGAAAAATTCGAATCCTCAGGCATTGCTGGTGGGAGTGTAAATGAATGCACCTGCTTTGGAAAACAGCCTGGCAGTTCTTGAGAAAGTTAAACATGGAGTTACCATATGACCCAGCAGTTCCACTCCTGGTATATGCCCAAGAGAAGGAATACATATGTCGACATAAAAACTAGCACACAGATGTTCCTAGCAGCATTACTCATAATAGCCCAAAGTGGAAATGATCCAAATGTCCATCACTCCGTGAAGGGATAAATAAAATGTGGTATATCTGGAAAGTGGGGTATTTTTTTTTTGCAATGGAAAGGAGGAAAGTACTGATATATGCTACAACTTAGATGAACTTTGAAAAGACCGTGCTAAGTGAAAGAAGCCGGTCACAAAAGACCATGGCACGTTGTGTGACTTCATCTATGTGAACTGTCTAGACTGGACAAATCCAGACAGAAAGTTGACTCGTGATTGCCAGGTCCTGGGGGAGGGGAGCTCTGGGAATGGTTATGAGTGGGTCTGGAGTTTCTTTAAGAGGGTCTAAGATGTTCTAAAATTAGATAGTGTTCATGGTTTGAATATACTAAATATACTAAAATAGACTGTGAATATACTAAAAACCATTGAATCATATACTTTAAGTGGGAGACTTGTATGTGGATTGTATCTCAGTAAAGCTGCTATAAAAGTTGCATTGAGGACAAGGCTATCTTGTCCCCAAGAGGGGACATAGGACAAATTGTGGGCATCAGTACATGCCTTTGTTAAACCACAGTAGAAAGCCCTTGGGCCCTTGGCCAGGAATAGCCTATTTACCAAGATGCCCTTCCCAACTGCCTCATCACATGGATCCAGGGAGCTCATACTGTGGTCTGTGTGAAGGGTGTCCCTGGAGTTATGCATGTTACCCTGCCAGCACCACCCAGGAGACCATGAGCATTGGGTTATTTCCCTGCTGTGGGAGTGGATGTCAGAGACCCCACTCCATTCCCTCTGTGGCCTGCTCTTGACTTAGAGCTCTGCCAGGCGGGATGGCCAGCGAAGGGGGGAAGTGGACTTGGGCTTGCGGGCATAAAGCCAGGGCTCTTGCTTGTTCACTCTTGACTCACCCAGGAATCTAGAGGAGCCCCTGATGGAGCAGAAAACCCTGTTGTGCACTGTGGCATGAGTGGGGCTCAGGGGAATGGAGGTCCTGGTGGCTGTTCCCTGGCAGGAGTGCTGTGACCCCACAGGCCCTGTGGTACTGAGAGCTGATTAGGCTTATCTCAGGCCTGGGGGTGGGATGGGGGCTGAGGGGCTGACTTCATGGCCTCACACCTCTTTATTCCTGTTCCCTTAGTGATAGCGCATCCAGCAACCCCAAGACCCCGGATGGTGTACACCCTTCTCAAGAGATAAAGTCTGAGGCCTCCTCCAATCCCAGCTCTCCAGAAATCTGTCCCAACAAGGAGAAGTAAGAGAATGAGGGTGGATGAAGGGCTGGCCTTAGCCACTTGGAGCCCTGGGGTACACTCTCTGCCGAGAGCCAGCATTTGTGCTTTGAGAATTCTGTGGAGGCAGGGGCATGGGGAGTCGTTGGTGGGCAAGCTCAGCCTCTGCCAGGTGTGCCCTACATGGGGAGGAGGTCCAGGGTGTGACCAGGCCTGCCCCTCTCCTGTTCCCATAGGCCCTTCATCAAGTTGAAGGAGAATGGCCGAGCCAACATCTCCCGCTCCTCCTCTAGCACCAGCAGCTTCAGCAGCACAGCGGGGGAGGGTGAGGCCATGGAAGAATGTGACAGTGGGGTAGGTGTGGCTCCATCCGACCCTGGGGACCTGGGAGTGGGGAGGGCAACCTGGGCCCAGCCAGACAACTGCTGGATGCAGTAACTAGCTGCTGTGGGAAGAGCCCCATCCTGGCCCTTTGGCCCTAGGGGGGAAAGGGGACGTATGGGAACAAAAGGTGGGCCAGCCATTTGTCTCCTCTCCCTGGGAGGGACATGGGAATGGCAGCAGGGGGCTGGAGACCAGACTGAGTGGGGTCTCTGGCGTAGCCTTCCTGGCCAGAGAGGAGAGGGTCAGGGGCACTTCTGGGGGCAGGATTGGAGGCAGCAGAAAGAGCAGGTCCAGGTGGGAAGTGGGGGCCGATGACTACCCTGAGCTTGCAGGAGGCCTGGGTCAGGCCTTCCATGGCACAGGCGACCCTGTGGGGCTGCTGAGGATGGAGCCAGCCTCACTCACCCGGCCTCTCTCCCTAGAGCAGCCAGCCGTCCACGACCTCGCCCTTCAAGCAGGAGGTGTTTGTGTACAGCCCGTCCCCGAGCAGCGAGAGCCCTGGCCTGGGGGCAGCTGCCACCCCCATCATCATGAGCCGGAGTCCTACAGGTCAGTGGGGTGTAGTGTGTGCCCTGTTGGTGGAGAGGGGTGCGGGGGCTGTATCCTGACCACTGCTCATGGCCTGTGAGCCCCGTGTGCGTCCTGTGGCTGGGCGGGGGCATGGGGGCTGTATCCTGATCTCTGCTCATGGCCCATGAGCCCCCCCCCCCCACAGAAATCACATAGCTTGCACTCCAGCCCTTGGGCCCTACTAGCTCTCTTCATCTATTCACCGGCATTAAGATGCCTGTGTTCTTATGGTCTCCTTACTCCTGGGGACACCCAGGCTCTGGAAGTTCAGTGGTCTGGTGGAGGAGTTGGGATTTGAAAGCAGAGGCTCATTTGCTGCACACCGTCCTTGATGCTGGGTCCTCTGCTGCAGGGATGGCTGTGACAGTGCAAGGGTACAAAGTGGACGCATGTTGCAGGGGGAGGGAACCACACTGGTTTCTTGGGCTACAGTTTGTGGAGGGGACAGGTGTGAGAGGGCACTGGGCTGGGGCTGCCGTGGAGACCCCTGCAAGCTGGGTGCTACCCTGCTGGTGAAAGGAGCCACTGAAAGGTCTTAGGGAGAGAAGTGCTATCTGTACTAGAGAAAGACTGTTCTGGTTGCCGTGGCTGACCGGGTGCACGGGATTGGTGGGGAGTAGACACAGGGAGGGAGATCAGTGAGAGGTCACAGTAGGCAGTGAGGGGTGGCTGGGCTGTGGATCAGGGAGGGTGCCTGGAGCAATAGAGAAGGATGTAGATTCAAGAGATGTCACGGAAGTAAAATATTCATGGCTCAATAATGAAGGCTCAGGAGGGCAGAGTCTGGGCCTTCGGGGGTTCTGTGCCCACTGCAGTCAGGTGGAGCAGGTGGCGGCAGCTCTGGGGAGAGGTGAAGGCTTGGGGCATGAGGGGAGCACCATCTGAGTGGCTGCACACAGCAGGCGCTGGCAGGGCACACTGGCACCCAGAAATCAGAGCCTTGCAGTCCGGCCCCCAAGGAGTGCAGCCCAGTGTGGAACCAAGTGCAGGATTGTGGGGCTTGGGTTCATATCCTTGATCTGCCGCTGACTGGTGATGCGACATTGGGCAGGTTACATTGGGCAGAGCCTTTCTGTACCTCTATTTCCCTGAGCAAAGACTGGAGGGAGGGGAATAGTTCCTACCTCACGTGGTTGGTTGTGTGAAGGTTAGATGAACTTAGAGTTGTAAGAGACTTAGAACTGTTAACCTAAATGTTAAATAACAGGAATAGAACAATAGTGCAGTTAATGGTGCTCCATCAGGGGGCATCCAATAGGCTGAGGCTGAGAAACTCTAGTCACGTGATAGAAACTCAGAGGGAGCAGTTCCCATGCTTCCTTTCATCAGCGCCCCATTCTGGGCTGCTGCAGCGAGGGCTCTAATCCTGGCTGTGGCATGGACAGGGCCTCCTCCCAGAGCCTCAGTCTCCTCAGCTGTGAAGTGGGGTAGGAATGGAAATTCCCTAATATTTAAAAAATAAGGTTTAATTCAGTATTGAAGGAATGAATGAAAGAATCTGTAACCAAGCCTGGCCTCTACTTGGTATTAAATACCAAAGTAAATAAGGTTTAAAAAATATAGATTTTGAAAAGATTTTATTTATTCATGAGAGACACGGTGGGGGGTGGGGGGCTGCAGAAACATAGGCAGAGGGAGAAGCAGGCTCCATGCAGGGAGCCTGATGCAGGACTTGATCCGGGACTCCGGGATCATGCCCTGAGCCAAAGGCAGATGCTCAACCACTGAGCCACCCAGGCGTCCCAGTAAATAAGATTTTGAGTAGCAGGAGGTCTAGAGAGCATCTGCCACTTGCTGAAGATCACCCAGGACATAAGGGAACCTTTAACGTGCCTGGTGACTCCCTTTGGTGCTTCTGGCACCACACCGTGTGCTTCTCTCTACCTGCTTTCCCTGCACACAGGGCTTGGCCCTGGGGCCACCTCCTCTTCCCAGCCTCCTCTTCCTAGCCTCCTGTCTCATGGGAACTTCCCAGTTCCAACTAGAATGCATTTTCAAATTTCATCGACATATATATTTCTCCTTTTCTTTTTAAAGATTTTATTTATTTGGTAGATAGAGTGAGCAGAGGGCAGGAGCAGGGAGGAGGGGCAGAAGCAGACTCTCCACTGAGCAGGGAGCCTAATGTAGGGCTTGATCCCAGGACCCTGAGATCATGACCTGAGCGGAAGGCAGATGCCTAACCAATTGAGCCACACAGGTACCCCAAATTTCATCTGTATTTTTAATGTTTCCTTCATTAGTTTAAGCCTAGACAACAAAACTATAGGTCAGGTCCTGAGTTTGTAGCATCCGCTGATTTCTGAAGTGTACATGCTCTACCATAGCTGAGCTCAGGCCAGCAGCGTGCTGTGGAGTCTGGAAGAGGCATCAGGCTCCACAGACATAAGTAACCCAAAGAGAATAGATCATAGCAAAATGCAGTGAAATAATTGGGGAGCAACGACTTTTGAGTATTTATGATCTTTGATGAATATGATTTATTGAATTGTAAGCTTCTATAATTTAATTTTTTAAAAAGTTCCTGGGTTCACCAACCAGCTTACATTTCTAAAATTTTCTAAGTTTAGGAGTTAGCTCTGACAAATTGCTGCAGGTCAGCTGGAAATGCCTAGTGGAGGAGGGGCCCCTTCCTCTGCCCTCCTGTAGCACCCATACCCCAAACTCATAGCCCTGGTGACCTCTGCATGGACACTTCTCTTTTTCCTAGATGCCAAAAGCAGAAACTCCCCGAGGTCAAATCTGAAATTCCGCTTTGATAAGCTCAGCCATGCCAGCTCTAGTGCGGTAAGGATCTAGGGGCAAGAGGGTGGTGGGGGGAGCCTCTTGCATCCCACATTCCAGCCTTCTCCAAGAGCCAGGTGTCCTTCTTGGGGGCCAAAGGAAGGGGGCACTTCCCACATCCTGCTGGGGGAAGGACCACTCTGGTCAGATTTGGGGGTGATGCTATAATCCCCATATGGTACAGGCATCAGCCTAGGGGATGCCAGCCACCTGTGCCACACCTGCTGTGTTGGAGTCACAGCTTTGGACATGTGCAGGTGTGAGCTGGGAACTCCTGGCTCCTGGGGCCTCAGGTCCCTTCCTTAGCTCACCAAGGAGTTGAGAGCTGAGCACACAGAGGCTGCAGCCAGTGGAGATTATGTTGTCTAGTTAGTTAACACTCTTCTATGGGTTTTTCTTGAAACAGGGTCACTAATGTGAAAGAGGAGTCCTTCGCTTGTCAAAGGTGGGTCAAGGGTTTGTCCTGTTGTGACCATGAGGGAAGGTGTGTCTGCTTAAGATCAGGGTGCTAGTGGCCTGATAACCTGGGAATGGCCAGAGAGATCCTGACAGTTGGGGAGGGCCACTCACCTCTTCCCTGAAGCCTCTGTGATGGGGCTCAGGTCTGGACAAGAAGACTGCTGACAGCCTGGGGCGTGGATGGGAAAGGTTGCCCAATAGGATTGGGCCAGGCTTACTGAGTTGGTCTCCATGCCCTAGAAGGAGCCTGGTTCAGCAGGCAGAGGGGCAGGAGCCCAGAGCCACACACCCCCCCATCCCACACAGAGGGTTCCTCAGTCTGTCCCCTTGCCAACCTGTCCTTGGTAGCCTTTCCCTCCTTGTGTCTTTGGCCAGGGCTCTGGGCTGAAATATGTCCTCCCTGCACATTCAGAGATGCCCCAGCCCCCTGGACACTGTGTGGGATGACCCGAGGGAGGACTTCTGGTCCTGGCCTCAGGTGAGGGAGTGTCCAGTTTTCATCAGAGTGGGGCATGGGTCCAGTTAGCCACCCCTGGGGCTGGACCTCCTGCTGTGGAGCCCTGTGGCACTGGGGTACGAGTCACAGCTGGAACCACACAGGGCCAGAGTTCTGTCTACTTCATATAAACCTGATGTGTGAAAAAGCAGAAGAGACTGTGGGAATTCTGACGCTCACCTTCACCCCCATTGCGCACTTCAGATGCCTCTGCTCACCAAGTCAGTATTTATGGCCAGCTTCTTATGCTGCCTCATGTCTGGCACGCTTGTACTTGGTGTCTCCTGTCCCAAGCACCTTCAGGAGGTATAGCTGCGGCCACCTGTTCTCCTTCCCTCCTCACCCAGCGTGTGCTCATTATCTCCCTCCTTCTCTCCCCAGGGAAGTTCCGGTTCTGTCTGGGAGAAGGCTCCTATTCCAGCAGTTTGGGGGTGCCATCCACTACTCTGACCATCACAGGCCTGCTGCCCCACTGGCCACCTGCCCACCACTGTCCCAGTGTCCCAGTTTGGCCACACTCCCGCCTGTCCCCTTGCCAAGACACTCTGCGAGCACTTCTTCTCTGGCCAAGGCCTCGTTACACCGGCCTGCCCCTGCTCTGACCGCCCTATGTGATGTGTGTCTGGGTCATTTGTCATCTCATTTTGTGTGCAAAGGAGAGTTGGGCAAGGGGAGGATCCAGGTCTTGGGGATTTGGTCTGGGCCTAGAGAGGCAGAGAGTTTGGTGAGGTGGGGAGTGGAGGCCGTCGGCAGGATGCCACACCCGGGGAGGGGCAGCCGTCTGTCCTGGATGAGGCAGGTCCAGCAAATATAGTAGGTGGGGGCTGAGGGACCACTTTTCCAGGAACCAAGATTTGTAGCTGTCCTCCAAGATGTCATGGTAGAGATCAGGGTGTCGCCTCCACATTGTGCTTCCATTCTAGGAGCTTCCCTCTTGCCCATCCACCCACCTCAGGCCCTGCTGCCCGTGTGTTGTGTGTGCCGCAGCTGACCAAGACAGCTGCGGTGTGTGGACGTGGCCCCGCACTCTTCCTCCACGGCAGCCTGGTGGTGTTGCTGTGGGAGGATCCCTGGGCCCGACTCTCCCCTCGGAGGGATGTTTGCCCCAAGAAGGGGTAGGCAGCCTCCAGCAAGAAGGAATCCAGAAAGAGCAAGCTGGTGAGCTGTGCTCTGGGGCCTTGACTGAGGAAGACCTTTGGGTGGCGGGCTGGGGTGGGATGCAAGTCCCCACTCATATGAAGGCTCGTGGAAGAGTTACTTCAGCCTACCACTGAAGTCAGAGCTGGGGGGGTGAGGGGGGATGACCTGTCTGCCTGGGTCGATGTGTGGATGCCAAATGTAGGCATGAGGAAGGAGCAACATCCCTCTGTGGCTTCTGCTCCTGGCATCTGTAGAGGGCCCAGTGCTTCCTTGGGGGCTCTTTCCAGCTGCTATGCCCTTTGGCCTTGTTGGCACTTGGTCCCCTAGTCCCCTTTGACTGTGAGTCTGTAGGCAATGGTCAGTTGGTGGGATTTTTACAACCTGGGCCCTAGCTGGATGCTGCCTGCTACCTGCCCCCTTGGCCAGAGCCAGCTCACTCTCCAGAGCAACCCCCCTTTGCCTGCTTGTCATCCATCCTTGCCTGCAGTGCAGAAAGTTGTTTGTATGGACTAGCCCTGGTGGAGGTTATGGCGGGTGTCCCCCCCACGTAAAACCGAGAGTCTGCAGAGCAGAGTGTTGGGAGTGTTGCAGCTTAGGGTGCACATGGGGCCTCTGTGACCCAGGATAGCCAGGGGGCCTCGGGCCGGGCTCCTGCCTCAGTGAGAAGATGGTAAGGATTTCTACCAAATGTTTTATTTGCACTGGCACCTGGGCCCATCCTGAAGTCAGAGTGGTCTCATGTCCATGTTATACTTGTTTTTGATTATTGTGATCATTTCCCCACCGCTTTTGCCATCAGCACAAAACCTTGATCCTTCATCTCTCACTCACGTGGACCTCGTGGGACCCTACTGGCAGGCTGGGGGGACCTCTCCCCTCACACTATTTGAGAAATATGTTTACTAGAATACTAGTCTGGCAAAATTTCTTCCAGTGAGGTCAACAAATGTCTGTTTAGCTTTTATTAAACACCGTAGCAGCACTCACTGCTGGAATGAGGTCTGCAGATTTTGGCAGCGTTCTGTTGGCCGGGTTTCTGAAGGACCTTGAAAGGTCAAACTGCAGTAAAAAAAAAACCCAAACAAACAAACAAAAAAAAACACAACTATTCCAGGTTCTGGCTTGCTGCTTGGGTAGCTAGTATTTACAGCTGCTTGGTGATTGTGCTATGTTGGGTTAGGGTCTGGGGTCTGGAGTTTCCAGGTTGTCCCACCCTGTTCGTCTTGGGAACTCCAGTGCCCCAGCTACTCCTACTGCAGCACTCACCTCCTGGGAGGGCTCTGCCTCTGCCTCTGAGCCAGTGGCCAGGGATGCTGGGTGTGCTCAGGTAAGGGCATGTTCTCTACAAAACAGACCTGAGAACTGGTCTCTGCCTTCTGTGTGCTACCTGGGGTACACTGGGCACGGTCTGAAATGTCCCTCCCCCTGGGCCCTGTCTTTCTGTCTCTAGAAAGCCCAGCCCACTTATGGCTTCTAGAGTATACATGACCAACTCCTAGGGCTGAGGGGGAGGAGGAGAACAGGGAGTGGGCAGTCTCCTCTCAGCCCTCTGGACCATGGGGCAGGCAGCTTGGAGCCCTGGAGGCTGCTTCCCCCACTTTCTCTTGCATCTGCTCTGTTCCAAAGTTTCCTTTTATTGCTGCGCCCAATCTTGGGGCTCAAAGATTTGCTCGAGTCTCCTTGGTCCCTGTGACCAGACTCATCCTGATGGTGCTCATGCTGGTATTTGAGACACTCTGCTTGTGACACTCTGGGAGGAGAAACTATACATGTCAGGCTCTGTAGGGCACTGTGTGCCTCTGCTCATTGGTGCTTAAGAGCAGATGAGATAGAAGATCTGAGCTAGAGTTTTTAGTGAATGGAAAATGATGAATGAATGAAAAGTGAGTGAAAAATATGTGGTTCAGCCTTGTCGACATCATGTCAATGTCCAAGCTTTCTGGGACCCTTCGGACATCTAATCCATTCATATTCTCATCCAGCTGAGAAACCTCAGCCTCTGTGAGAGAAAAAAATTCGCGGGAGGTCTCACAGCCAACAAGTGGTAAAGCTGGGATTGGAACCCACAGCCCAGGGCCCTTCCTTTTACACCACTACACGGTTGGTTGAACGGGTGGCTGCATTTGCTGGGTCCCTGGGTTCTGGAGGAGCCAAGTTAGCTGGTGCCCGGGCACCGGCTGGGAGCTGTGCGCAGCAAGGTAGGGCCTCAGTCTCTCTTCATCAGGAGGGGTATGGGTTCAGATTCCCAATGAGGTCCCTGGGGTTTTGGGTGCTGCTTGAGCAAAACAAATGAGGAGGGAAGGAGATTTCAGAACCGCAGTTCCTCAGCTCTGATCTGCGATGGGGGTGGAGGCCAGGGCAGAGGAGTTAGCCAACCCACAGTTTCTCCTTAAGTTCAGAAGAAAAGTGGTAACAGAAAACTGTCCTGTTCTCCCCGGTCCTTAAACAAATGTGGTTAGCAAAAAGTATAGGCTGCTGTGCCGAAGTGCGACGAGAGCCAGTGTCACTTTCTTACCCTGATTGGTCAGGGTGCCAATGCAAACACTACCTTCTTCATTTGATTCTGAGTCAACAGAGACAGGCTGTTTTTGGGGAACAGCCAGGGGCCAGGTGGGTGGCTGGGTCCTGCTTGGGATGCACAGCTTCTCAAGCCTCTCGCTCGCTTTCTCCAAGGTGAGAGTGGGTCAGTGGGGTTTGCCAAGGCTGCCAAGGAACATTCTGTAAGCCCACTGTGTGTTTTACCACGAGCCCCTTGCCCACCCCAACCCACATCTCCCTCCTTTCAGCCGGGCCGCCTGGCCCTTTGGGGGGACGGAGACCCCACACTAGGGCCAAGGCCGGCAGAGCCCTGGTTGGTGAGAGGCTGTGGGGCAACCGCTCTGCCCTGGGGAAAGGGTGTTCAGCTGGAAGACTGGAATTGAAATGCCATCATCTTTGATTTTGTACTATTTCTACTTGGAACCGTCAGTTCCTCCTCGCTCCTTAGCATGTGTGCCAGCTCTTCCCTGTCATGGGCGTCACCCTTCCACACCCCCTGGGGCCTGACGCTCCAGTGTGAAGACGTTCCTCTGTGTGATAGAACCTGCGAGTGTAGCTTGGAAATGGTGATCCGTGTGGTGACTTTTCTTTTTTTCCTCTTCTTGAGGAGGTGATTTGTAGAACCCCGACTGCCTAGGTAATGTAAATACTGTACATTTAATTTATTGCTATGGTAGCACATTGTATTTGTTAATGTATAAAACAAATTCTAAAAGGTCGACAAATGTATATTTTGTTGCTTAAATGTGTCTTTGCAAAAATTGACAATAAATAACATATTTTGTGTCCATCCTTGTTCAGACTTCTTTGCTCAGGGCCCCAAGCCCTGAGCAGCATCTTTCATCAGAGGTTGAATCCTGGCAGCCCCCGTATCTGCTGCCCGTAGATGTGTTACTGTGGCCTGAAGAGTGTTTTAAAATACTTGAATTAGTTGCCAGTATTTAGAAAACAGTTGATATTTAGAGCACAATTAAAATGAAAAAACAAAAACCCGACCTAGAAATGTCCTATAAAATCTGAATTTTCTGCTTCTCTTAAAAAATCAGATGGTGGATCCACTCTGTGGGAGGGGCACAGATTGGGCCACGGTGCCTAGAGGCTACCCCTCTGAGCCACTGCAGGCCCCACCCTTCTCTGTCCTTTACACCTGGAGCACTTCATTCCTGTTGTTTGCTGGCCCCTGTAGGCATCTGAGTTTGAGGCCCCTGTTCTCCACTGATCTGTCTCCATCCTGTCAACTTTCTGTCTTCCGGCCACTCTCTGTCCGCATTCCCAAGTCCTCTCAAGGACTCTTCTATGATTAAATGCCCTCTCTCCTACCCACCTTTGACTCCCAAATGGCTGTGTTCTTATGTACATTTTGCTTTACAATGTTTGGATGTAGGTTTGCAAATAATCTCTGTATTTTTCCCCCTTAAGAAATTTGAACACAAATTCAAATTTGGGATTGAATTGTGGGGCTTGGTTGTGTGATCTTGAGCAAGGTACTTCTCTGGGTTTGCATTTTCTTTTATGTATAATCAGAAAAATAATCTACAAGCAAAGCATGAGGATAAAGTCGGTTCATAGTTGGGAAAGAACTTTGAAAAGAATCAGGTGTTAGTCAAGCACCAGGGGTTCAATAATAATTGTTATTATAATAACAGCAGCTGAGGGTTTTGCTTACCATGCACTCAGTTCCATAACATGATGTACTAGTGCCTAAAAACCACAACACCAAGCAAAATTGCAAGTGCAGGCCTCTTGGGAAGTAGGGCTGAGGATACAACACTCAAAAGTGTTGTCAGTGATACAAATGAAAAAGTTATGGAAAGGGCAGCCCGGGTGACTCAGCGGTTTAGCGCTGCCTTCAGTCCAGGGCGTGATCCTGGAGACCCGGGATCGAGTCCCATGTCAGGCTTCCTGCATGGAGCCTGCTTCTCCCTCTGCCTCTCTCTCTCTCTGTCTCTCATGAATAAATAAATAAAATAAAAAAATTATGGAAAATGATAGCACGGTTTTACATATGTTAAATGATTAAGAAATAAATACTACAATCAATACAGCTTTTTACTTTGTAACAGACCTGAGGTTTGTGGACTGCAGCTTGCAGGTTCTTGGGAAGAGGTGGAATGAGAGTTCTCTGCAGTCGGACAGACAGTGGGATCCCCAGATGTGGCTGTGTGAGACAGTGCAAGGTGTGCTGGGGGTGTGGTGGTGATCTGTGTGCTCCCACGCAGCTCCGTGCAGCTGGGTGTGGTCTCCCGAGGTCACCTAGTACCTCTGGTGGATGAATCACATGATCAGACGTGCAGTTTGTAAAATCCTCCAATGCCCCCCTACTCTATTGATTGCGTTGGGTCAGATTTCCATTTTCAAAACAAGTGTTAGAGCAGGAGGACTGTACTATCTCATCTAGGCACCCAAGTGCCCCATTGAGGCAGGTGCTATTACTGTCTTTATTTCACGTAAAGAGTCAGAGATTGCAATTTGGAACCTAAATGTGATGCAGATTTGCCTGGACGTGCTGCCTTCGAGAGGAAGGTAAGCTTCGGACTGTGGGGTCTAGATGCCGCAGGATGCGCCCAGGACACTGTGCTCCAGCTGTCTCCCGTTGCCCTGCCGGCTTGGAGGTGCTCTTGTGCAGCCCACGTCTGCAGCCTCCTGGGCCGCGGTCGCCGCACCCTGGCTGTGCGCTGCCTCACGGGAGCCCCGTTTCTCAGAATTTCTGGTTCCGGCTCTTGAATCTCCAGGACAGCCAGTGAAGGTGCATCTTTCACACGGACCCCCCCACACCGTCTGCCCCGCCGGATTTGGCTGTTTCCGGGGTTCCAGCCTTCTTCCTTGAAGCTGGGGGATCGCCAGCTCCCCAGGGCCCTCGCAGAGGTGGGACGCTTTCTACCTGTGGGGCGAAGTGCCAGAGGCCCGAGCGGTGTTCAGGTGGGCCAGTTACTGTCCCTCCAAACCTCCAGACCTGCCCAGGCTCCGCAAGCTCGCCCTTGGGGTCCTGGGTTTATGTGTCCCACCACCCCCACCCCCCGCCCCGGATGGGGCCCAGTCCAGGTGGAGGCTTGTTCCCAGGACGCCTGAAACCTGTTTCCCCCACCTCGGCGTCCAGCAGCCCGGGGCAGTCATTGAATGTATGCGGGGCACAGGAAACATTTTCCTAAGGAGCCTGCTCAGAACATGCTCGGGTTTTCTTTCAATCTCGTCTTTCCAGTGCCTGCTGTGTCCAGTGGTGCTACCAGCTGTGCTTTGACCAGGCAGTCTTTGCCCTTGGGGCTGAAGGATGGGTTCTAGTAACAACCCACACAGTCCAATTCCAGAACTTTGCTGTAGCTATCAGCTATGAAAACCATTCCATTTCAGTTCAGACTCAGTCCTGTCTGATTGATTGAAATAAAATTTTTTTTTTAAGATTTTATTTATTCATGAGAGACAGAGGCAGAGACGTAGGCAGAGGGAGAAGCAGACTCCCTGTGGAGAGCCCGATGTGGGACTCCATCCCGGGACCCGGGATCATGCCTTGAGCCAAAGGCAAACGCTCAACTACTGAGCCACCCAGGTGCCCCTGCACTCAATTTTATTTATTTTTATTTATTTATTCATGAGAGAGAGGGAAGCAGAGGGAGAAGCGGGCTCTTTGAGAGGAGCCCGGTGTGGGACTCAATCCTGGCACTCTGGGATCACTCCCTGAGCCGAAGGCGGATGCTCAACCACTGAGCCATCCGCACGTCCCAGTCATGTCTGTTTTAAACTTCAAATCACATTCAATTCAAAGCCCCCTGCCCCGCAGACCCTCCAGAAGAGGCTGGCCAGTGGGCCTGGAGTTTGGCTCAGGGTGTGGCAAGGGTGCCCCACTTGACCAAACTTCAGTCAGGCTCCTCTGAGCCCTCTGGTCACCGAGATGGTAACCTCAGCCTGTGTTTGGCAGGCCCAGCCCAGTTTTAGCAAAGAATCCTGCTAAACTGGCTTCTTGAGAAGTTCTGCACTCTTGGTATCCAGTTATGCTGTCCCCCCACCCCCACCCCACCTTGCTACCCCACCAGGTTTTTCCTAGCAATTTTCCATCCAATTCCTCACCCTGCTCATTGGCTGCAAGTCCCCAGCTGTCTCTTTCGTGTTTGAAGTGGAGTTCAATCTCTGCCCCGTTGCAATAGTCTTGCATAAAGTCATCCTCACCTGTTGAACTCTGGTGCAAGTTTTCTTTGACAAGAGGCTCATCTGTCCCCCACCCATTCGCCTCTGCTCTTCCACACCAGCACTGCGGTGAGGGAGAGACCTACTTTGAGACTGCCCCTGAAAGAGTAACTCATGGTGGTTAGCATGGGTGCTCGGCAGAGCGGACCTGAGACAGGAAGGAAAAATAGAGTCAGGAAAGGCCCATGAGAGAAAATGGGGAGCTCTGTGCAGACAGCCGGGAGAGCTGACCCCACTGCAAACACGGGTCTGACCCGAGTGGAGGAGATGGGAGGGAGGGAGGTCGGTTGGCAGCATCTTTGGCATCAGTCCAGTTCTAAGAAAAGTTCAGCAGGGCCACTGGGGAGTCCACTAGCCAAGGTCATCCACCAGGGGAGTCCCACATATCACAAGAAGGAGCCCCAAATTACTACCCTTGCTGCACCCAGCCATGGGGCAGGAGTGGCCTGTGGGAAGTCTGGCTTTGATGTGAGCCATGGAACAGTGATGGATTTCAGAGTGTTGCACCCAGGACCACCAGGCAAGTATGCCCTGGCCATTGGAGACCTGCCACATGAACTTGCCCTAGTTTGGGTTGGTTACAGTTTATCATCATTTGTGGGTAGGTCCACATTAGTGGAGGGGGAGCGTGAACCTCCTCTTGGTATTCTTTAATACCAACCTTCCATTGGCTATTTTGCTTTTCAGGCATTCAAACGCTGCTGGGTTTTTTGTTTTGTTCTTAAATATTTATGTATTTTAAGGGAGAGAGCCCAAGCCGGGGGAGGGGCAGAGGGAGAGAGAATCTCAAGCAGCCTCCACGCTGAGTGTGGAGACTGACGTGGAGCTCCATCTCATGACTCCAAGATCATGACCTGAGCTGAAATCAAGAGTCTGATGCCCAACTGACTGAGCCACCCATGTGCCCCCAAATGCTGGTGTTTTGTCACAAGTCCCCTGTCATGTGAGATGGGGTTCAGGCTGGGCCCATTCCTCCCCTTCCTCAGTCCCTGCTTGAAGACATCTACCTACAGCCTTCAGTTAATGATCCAAGAGCTTCAAGCCCTACTACCTAGTTGGTTTCCACTCAATTCTCAGGCTGTTTTCTTATCCTCCTAATGCCAGCAGCTACCAACGTCTGCTGCTCTATGCCACATCCTAGCACTGTTTATCTTCACTCTGCATCTACCTTTTCCCTTCTCCAGACCCCTGTGGTCTTAGCAATGTTAAGACAATCACCTCACCATGACCCGCTGGAGCATGAGGTTGGAGGCCCCTCAGTGTTGGAGGAATAGAGATGGATAAGTCAAATGCTCTCCCTCCTTCATGGAGCCAGTCCTCCTCTTAGATTAGAAGGAATGAGGTGGGGTGTGGGTTTCATAGCTGGTTCTCATGAAATGGTGCTTTCTGCAAGGCTGGTGAGGCTTCCTGGCTGGCTCCAGTGACTCCAGTGGTTCTCTGAATTTGAAATGTGAATTTGGTGGGCCACTGCTATGGCCCATTCAAACATGTGCCTTCAAACTTTTAATGTTCCACCTTGTGTTCCCATGGTGGAGTAGGGGCCAAGGGTAGGCTGCCCCAAGACAGACCATTTTGGCACAAAGATTATTGTAAGCTCAAGGCAATCAAGAC